AATCTTGCTATAAAACATTGCGTAGGTGTCGTGCTATGAACATCGAACACTGATGAACTTGCATGCAGAGCGGTGGCTGGTGTTTAGGTGACGCGCAGTTCCTCCGCTCTACCTAAGCGGAGCACCTGCTTGGCTGGGTCCTCGTGAACCTCGACCTAAGCTGTAATCTTGCTGCTGAGGCTTCCCCCGACTTGTGACTAGGCCGGGTCAGGTCCCTAACAGTCAGCCCCGCCTCACGTGGTCCCACATGACCCGACTTGCAGCGTCCAGCAGCCCCCACCGGGCCATGACCAGCCGCCTGGTGCTGCTGGCGGTGGTGGCCGTACTGTGCCTGATGGCACCGCAGGGTGAGTGGCGGAGGCCATGGGGGACGTAGCTGGAGAGAGGCCATTGGGTGCCGAGGCCCGAATCCTGCGGGCATCTGCCAGGGAACCAGGTGGTGCACTGCCTTGTGGCCCCGTGTGTGGTGTATCTCTGCAGGAGTGAGTGCACAAGACGTTGAATCAAGAAACTCTAATAAGCCACGTCATCCCAAGGTGAGCAAGTTAACGCCGCTGCACATCTATTTCCAGCCTACCACAGCCCACCGGTAGCCCACTTTGTCTTTGATGTCCTGAGTCCACCACATTCCTCTCTCCTGACTGGATAAGAGGTCCAAAGTGCTCAACAGCTAACAGATGGGAGTTTGGCAAACCAATTTAATGATCCCTTACTACACTTTATTGACCTTGCAAACGCCGCATACATCAATCGTTTTTTTGTCCAGGCGCCCGAGGCACCTCAACCTCCGTCGCCCGAGCCACCGAGGCAGCCCAAGGCCCCCAAGCATCCAAAATCTCCCGAGCAGCCGACTGCCCCTACGCAACCCTGTGCTCCGGAGCAGCCTGCTCTCCCTAAGCATCCCAAGGCCCCCAAGCAGCCCAAGGCTCCCGAGCATCCTATTGCCCCTAAGCAGCCCAAGACCCCCCATGCAGCCCAAGGCACCCGAGCAGCCGACTGCCCCCGAGCAGCCGACTGCCCCTAAGCAGCCCAAGGCCCCTAAGCAGCCCAAGGGCCCCCATGAGCCCAAGGCCCCCGAGCAGCCGACTGCCCCCGAGCAGCCGACTGCCCCTAAGCAGCCCAAGGCCCCTAAGCAGCCCAAGGCCCCCCATGCAGCCCAAGGGCCCCGAGCAGCCGACTGCCCCCGAGCAGCCGACTGCCCCTAAGCAGCCCAAGGCCCCTAAGCAGCCCAAGAGCCCCCATGAGCCCAAGGCCCCCGAGCAGCCGACTGCCCCCAAGCAGCCGAATGCCCCAAGCAGCCCAAGGCCCCTAAGCAGCCCAAGGCCCCCAAGCAGCCCAAGGGCCCCGAGCAGCCGACTGCCCCCAAGCAGCCAATGATCCCTAAGCAGCCCAAGGCCCCTAAGCAGCCCAAGGGCCCCCATGAGCCCAAGGCCCCCGAGCAGCCGACTGCCCCCGAGCAGCCGACTGCCCCTAAGCAGCCCAAGGCCCCTAAGCAGCCCAAGGCCCCTAAGCAGCCCAAGGGCCCCGAGCAGCCGACTGCCCCTAAGCAGCCAATGATTCCCAAGCCGCCCAAGGCCCCTAAGCAGCCCAAGGCCCCCCATGAGCCCAAGGCCCCCGAGCAGCCGACTGCCCCCAAGCAGCCGACTGCCCCTAAGCAGCCCAAGGCCCCTAAGCAGCCCAAGGCCCCTAAGCAGCCCAAGGGCCCCGAGCAGCCGACTGCCCCTAAGCAGCCAAGGCCCCAAGCCGCCCAAGGCCCCTAAGCAGCCCAAGGGCCCCCATGAGCCCAAGGCCCCCGAGCAGCCGACTGCCCCCGAGCAGCCGACTGCCCCCAAGCAGCCCAAGGCCCCTAAGCAGCCCAAGGCCCCTAAGCAGCCCAAGGGCCCCGAGCAGCCGACTGCCCCTAAGCAGCCCATGGCCCCCAAGCCGCCCACTGCCCCCAAGCAGCCCAAGGCCCCCCAGGAGCCCAAGGCCCCCGAGCAGCCGACTGCCCCTAAGCAGCCCAAGGCCCCCGAGCAGCCGACTGCCCCTAAGCAGCCGAAGGCCCCCGAGCAGCCGACTGCCCCTAAGCAGCCGAAGGCCCCTAAGCAGCCGACTGCCCCTAAGCAGCCCAAGGCCCCCGGGCAGCCGACTGCCCCTAAGCAGCCCAAGGCCCCCAAGCAGCCGACTGCCCCTAAGCAGCCCAAGGCTCCCTAGCAGCCGACTGCTCCCAAGCAGCCCAAGGCCCCCAAGCAGCCGACTGCCCCCAAGCAGCCCAAGGCCCCCAAGCAGCCGACTAACCCTAAGCAGCCTTGATGAAAGGGGACTGAGCTGGCTAGGGTTGTTATGTCTGAGCACCTGGATGGGATGCGCTCGCTAGGAGGCCATGGGTTGAGATGCAGGTTGAGGTGCACTTTGGTACGGCAGAAACTCGTGATCTAGGTCTCCACATGTTCAGAGGCTAGCCGCAGGGCCAGGGGGGACCGGCCCGTTAGTTTGGGCTTTGGCGGAGTGACCGGTTTCCGCCTGCTAGCCAGTGATCAGATTCTGTGTTGAGCCGCAGCGGATGCACTGCCCGGGAGTGCATGAGTATTGGCCCGTGCGTGCTTGCCTTGCTGACCTCGCCACGAGCACGGATATGAACACGAGGAAAAGTGACAGTTCAAAGACGTTATACAAAACACGCTAGCAAGGCCAGGAGCAATACCCACATATGCAAGTGGATGGTACCAGTGAGCCGTTAGTAGAGCATTTATCATATACCACGGGGTCGGTACTGTGAGCTTGCTTGGACTGGGCTGCGTGCCCTTCGTTATCTTTGCAGGTTTCTGCTTGAGGGAACTGATAGGTGTGATCCATTGGTAGGTGTTTGTTGCGGTTACCATCCACGCAGTTGCTTGCTTGGTTCGTTGCTTTGACACAGCGTGCCTCCTTAGGTAGGTTATGACTGATGTTGATGGCTAGCAAAATGCTCCACATTACACACACGTATGGAAGCTTTTCCGGGGACCCGAGCTTTATCTGTGTAACAGCTGACATGGATACCACCACCCATCGGCTCCACCCAGACTAACGCAGCAGCAGGCGTCCAGGTGTGCATCGCTGAGTTACACACTACTACTGCACGCAGCGATTTCAGTTTTAGTCGTACCTAAAGGCTGTACGAGTATACTGCACCTGCTGACCTGCTGAGCTTCCCATGGGTTACGGTACGACGGATTTATACACACATACACATTCGGTACGGATGAGAAGATATTACCATACGTGTATCTAGCTTCATAAAAGCCGCATGTTGCTGGGAACTACTGTCAGATGCGCTATGGAAATAAATGGCAAATAAACAACATAATAGTGAAAATTGACCGCATGATCTTACGAGGCCCGGGGGATGGTGACGGCAGACATTTTTGCATTTATGGGCGGGGCCCCCTGGGCGCTTCGCGCTGGGGGCCCCCGTTCTGTTGGATTGCCCATGGCCGTGTGGCCGTTTCCCCGGGGGAAAGAGCGCAATATATAGCTGCCGTACGGAAGCCAGCCACGACACCCGTCCTCCCGCTTGGCCGGGACATCCATGCATTCCGGAGTAACATTTATTGCTGCACTGCTGCATATGTGCGTGCTGCGACATGCAGCTTCGTTGTCTACACACAGACAGTTATCCCGCTGCGGGACCAGACAATTGTTGTTCGGAGGTGCTGATGCAGCCATACGCCTCTGGGTCCGTCCCGAGACAGTCCAAACAACCTCATGAGGGCAACCCCACAGCAACTAATGCGCGTATCAGCAGCCTCAGATAGGCAGCCGGACAGCGAAAGAATGAAGCGCTTTAACGAGCTTGTGAAAAGGACTGTATCGGCATCGATACGTCAAGCCTATAACGCGCTCAGGCGCCAACTCGTCACACGTCACGGTGTATCCTGTCATGTCCCCGGCCATGTAGGTCTGCTACCTTGCTGCTGCTGGCTAATGGTTATGGCTTTACCGTGGCTGCGGGCGTCCTACCTGCCAAACGACATTTGCAGCCAGCCTAGCTGCGAATGTTGTTCCGACGAATTACTTGGATAGTCGGCATCATTCTCTCCGCGCGCAGGTGTGCAGGCCGCCAAGTTGGTATCGGGGAAGAGGGCGATCCATCCAGTGCCGCCCACCAGTGTCCGCTGCAATCGGAACGGCCCACCGAACCGGCTGGGCCGTCAAGCCCCCCACTGCTGCACGAGCCTGTCAGCGACGAAGCCAGTCCCATAAGCCATCACCTGAAAACTAAATGGCGCTGTATCAATCTTGCTATAAAACATTGCGTAGGTGTCGTGCTATGAACATCGAACACTGATGAACTTGCATGCAGAGCGGTGGCTGGTGTTTAGGTGACGCGCAGTTCCTCCGCTCTACCTAAGCGGAGCACCTGCTTGGCTGGGTCCTCGTGAACCTCGACCTAAGCTGTAATCTTGCTGCTGAGGCTTCCCCCGACTTGTGACTAGGCCGGGTCAGGTCCCTAACAGTCAGCCCCGCCTCACGTGGTCCCACATGACCCGACTTGCAGCGTCCAGCAGCCCCCACCGGGCCATGACCAGCCGCCTGGTGCTGCTGGCGGTGGTGGCCGTACTGTGCCTGATGGCATCGCAGGGTGAGTGGCGGAGGACGTACATAAGTGGCGCCTGGTCTCGCGCTGCAATTATGGCAGATGCTGATGATGCTGATGATCCTGGATGGTGGACACGCCGAACGGCTGCAGCGAGCTGTGCAGCGCCGTGGGGCATATGGCAACAACGTTTTGCTGTGGATTAGATTTCCTACAACCTTTTCATCAAGACGGCATGACACGCCCACGCAGAGGTTTTTTGTATATAGTGCGCAATGCCATGCGCGTAACGTTTGTTTTTTACTTGATTACACGCCGTCTCCTACTGTTTGACCTTTGCTTTACCCGCGGCCTCGTGGGCCCTTGGGTTTGTTGTGTGTGTGTTGGCTTGACTTGGCTTGGGCTTGGGCTTGCTTTGCAGGAGTGAATGCACAAATCATCATAGTGGAGGGCACCGCGGAGAAGTCACCCCCTCCAAAGGTGCGTGGGTACGTGGAGTTGTTTGCGTCTTGGGAACACTTACTCAACAGCTATTGACGGGAGATTTGTGCGAGAGGAAGTGTTCACTCCATAAGTCTTGGAACCCGAAAGCAACAACACGTCACGTATGTGTGTCCAGGCCCCCCAGCCGCCATCGCCCCAGCCGCCATCGCCCCAGCCGCCATCGCCCCAGCCGCCGTCGCCCCAGCCGCCGTCGCCCCAGCCGCCATCGCCCCAGCCGCCGTCGCCCCAGCCGCCGTCGCCCCAGCCGCCGTCGCCCCAGCCGCCGTCGCCCCAGCCGCCGTCGCCCCAGCCGCCGTCGCCCAAGCCGCCGTCGCCCAAGCCGCCGTCGCCCCCGTCCCCCAAGCCGCCATCCCCTAAGCCCCCAAGTCCTAAGGCACCATACGCTCCCAGGAAGCCCGAAGCCCCAAAGAAGGTTAAAGGTAGGTTGTAGCCCCTCCCTTTTAGCGCCGCCCAGCCAATCAGATTGATGGTTCGTATCCATCTCGGCGTAGTCGAACACGGAGACGCAAACCAACAGACCGGAAAGCAACGCTTGCCACTACATCAAGAACCTTAACCGTGGAATAACTGCCTTAGCGAAGCCAGAAATCCAAACAACTCGTACGGACAGCTCTGGAACAAGCTCTTTAAATGAGGTTCAAACGCCCTAGCAAAGGGCGTCAAGAAAGCCAGCACCTGCCGCAGTCCAACGACGGTGCACCGTGCCCCTATGCGGCGGACACGGCTGGGGAGGCCGCACATTGGGCGGCTTCACACACCCCGACACGACCGCACATCAAGAGAGGCAACACAGCCGTCAACAAATCGCACGACAGCTCGCAACAGGACAACACGGAGGATGCTATACAGTTATGGATGCATTCCCTGCTCTGGAACTCCCCGAGTGTGTCGCCCGCCCCGCCTCCCAGCCCTGTGGATGCTATCACCGAAAACACCGCAGGAGTTGCGGCAAGAACTGAGATCAGACATCTGATTGACATCCGACATCATATTTGTCGCTTAGTGAGACCCAGTAAGCTATGCGGGTCCAGCAGACATCCTGAACTTTCCAGGAATCTGATACCCAGGTGACATCAACCACTCTGCCAAACAACATGCGAAGGCACAACAACACCGCATATTAGCAGAACGCCTTGCCAAAGCTGGCCATGGATGGCCGGTACGGTAAACCAGGCAAGAGGCCATCATTCTTGGGTTTGGGGCACTGTCCGGAAAGACCTACAGCCGCGGCTGGTAAAAGACAGAAATGACCAACCAGACCGCCATGGCTTGGCTGCTGCTGTCTGCACGACCATGCTGACGAAGACTTAAGAGAATAGTAGTAATAACACGACGCCAAAGGGAAGGAAAGATGACTGCATACGTGAGGGACGAAGGAGAGCAAGTCAAATATCGAAACGGTGGAGGGAGGTGCAAAGGCCAGGGGAAACCCAGAGCCTCTCCAACCCTGCCCATTAATACACGGTTTATCATGATTTATTATCATTATCGTCAGCATCATATTAATAATACTTTCATCATTCATCATCATTATTATTAATCACGAACATTTACGTATTTATTTCTTTAATGTGTTATCACAGCGCCCTTTCGGCATTGCACCGCTGCAGCAGCTGCAGCACGGATTGTCCTTTTCTGCTACGACAGCTGTGGTGCCTTTGGCTTCATGTTCTTGTAGACCTGCTGGGAATGTCACCTGAGCACATGCCCACGCAGCTAATCCCATGACCGTGCGCCCAGCATCACCGAAACCTTCATCGCCGTTCTTGACCTTGTCCCCACACCAGCCAAAGGCAAGAAGTTCAAGGGCAAGAAGTGGAATTATATGATTTCAGACTCCATGCTTGAGTTCAAGGAAGCGGACAACTTTTGCAAGTCCGCGGGCTATGTCCTGGTGTCACCGGTCGAGGACACGTCAGGTGTGGGCATTACTGTTATACATCTCCAAGTTTTTACTTACATTTTACAGATGTACATTTGCTTCACATTTGCAAATGCACGTATGTATGCATATTGCTCGAGTGGTGGTCGACCCTGCTGGATTTTGGTAGTGCGACAGGCTACGGTCGGCTGCGCGTCAGCCAGCATGAATGGTCTTAGCGGCTTAGGGCAGGCCACTCCCGCACTTGGCGCAATTGTGCCGTACATTGCGTGCTTGGCGCTGAGCTCTCCCGTCTGGACAGCTTCATCCACCTCCTAACTGTGTACTGCCTGCTTGCTGCGTACTTGCGCCGCCCAGCCACCATCCTGCCTGTCCAACACTCACCCACCCGCATATATTGCCGCATTCCTAGCAGCCATATGTCGTAATGCTCCTCCCTGCATTCCGCGTTATGGACCCGGCTGACATCCGCCTCCTGCAGACGCTGTTGATTCAGCCTGCAACCACAGCGGCAAGGGCTGCTGGCTGTCATCAGACGAGAACGCCGATCCTTGCACGTATGTGAACTCCAAGGGAGGCGATAAGGCGTATGTGAACGACTGCAAGGTCAAGAACTACGCGCTGTGCTATGGACCTGCTGATAAACCATTGCGTTAATCTCACTACTGCACGCGAAGGAGAAGTAAGATTTACAGCGGCACTCTGCGCCTGCTGATGTCTACTTATTTCGTATGTGTACGGCGGAAAGGATGTTCTGGCTTTGCTCCAATAGCAACTCGTGATTGCGGAGACCCCCACGCACCTGCATGAATAGGTGAAGTATATTATTGTGGATCCAATCAGATTGTTGGTGCTGCCCGCACCTGTGTCAGGATTCAGGGTAGGCGTGGCTACCCGTTGCCTGCCTGCCTGCCTGCCTGGCTTTCATCGTGCCACGAACATCATACCAGTCGAGTTGCCTTGCCTCGTGACCAACAGGGCCGTACGATGGATTTTTCTGAGCCTGATCGCTTTCTGCAAGCCGCCGTGTGTGCTTTACAATGCACGCGGCAGCCAGCATGTACGGCAGTTTCCTAGTAGGGCACCATATATATGACGCTCTTCGGCGTCGGATTGCTAGGGTTCCTAGCAACCCTGCATCCATGCTTTCACGTCACCCCTGCCAATCAAGTGACCATCCTACTTGTAAGCTGTACGGCCGTCCAGCTATGATCATCAGTAGTGTCGGAGGGTAGAAATGGCGAAAAGTAGTAAATGTGCGGTGCTGGGCGAGGATGTAGGATTTTTTTACGAGTCACCGACGTCATCTCCCCGGCCTGTCGGAATGGAATATGGCCTTGGCTGGCTGCCGTCATCGAAAGGCCCTCGCTCAAGCAGGGAACACGTCTGTAATACTAAAAAATTTAAGATACTAAAACTATCTGTACGACAGTTCGAGGAACTAACCACTCCATCGCACTCATACTCACTTATAATACACACGTACGAGTAATTGTGGAACGCGTACAAGAGTCCTGTCAACTCCGGGGCCTAGAACTTCAATCCGTCCCTCCCATTGTCGCCGCACGGCCAGTTATGTGCACCTTGCGAGAGTATTTGCTTTCATTTCTCTATGAAGTACGCATGCTGTTCGTTTGTACAATTACTTTGGCCAATGGCAGTGTGCCGCGGCGGCTGTGGGGCGGATTGCTGAAATAAACAAAAGACAGCACATGAAAGTGCTGCGGGCTTTTGGGAAGTGTGTCGAGCTAGGCTTTAAGGGGGACGACAAGGGCGCGTGAGCAGGCGGGTCAATGCCTGAAGGGGCGCCGTAGGCAGTGCGTACGGTGCTGTATGGCGCTGTTTCCGTGTGTATTATGGCTGCGGCACCAGACCGCAAAGCCAAAAGGCTGAGGGCTGGCAAGCTGCGATTGTGTCTGCTGAGCGTTGAGCATCCGGCCTGGACTGCGGACTTTGCCGGCCGAGCCCCTGCTGTGTGCCGGTAACGGCACCACAGACTCATACGTTACGCCCAAGCAAGGGGCTGTCGGTGGCAGGTCGCGGACCTCCCGACTACGTGTAACGGCCAATGACTGCTAGGTTCCAAAGAGACACCGTCTCTTCAACAGGTTATGAGCCCCGGCTTCCTGCCTCCCGTGCTCTGACAAGCATACCTCCCACAGCATCAGCACTGCTGCAACAAACACAGCTCCCACCACGTTGACACTACCTATTAATTGTCATACGTGCCGCCCTAGCTACCGGCCTGTACGGATGCAGCCTGTACGGATGCAGGGGGGCCCCGCCCTTTTTCCGGCTTCGAGGAAGTTGACACAGCTGGTCCCTTTTTGACCCCGTCACCCGTCACCACCAGAGGGCATCCGATGCTAAGGAAGTCCAAGGCCAGAGGTTTGGGTACACTTCATCGACTGCGACGGCGCAGGGAAGGGTGGAGCTGGAGAATCTAGCGTAGACTAACAGACGGGCACCTGAAGGGACGCGGAAGGGGTAGATCTGGATGAACTGGTGTCGTTAGCAGCAGACCCTTCCGAAGGAAGGGTGGGAATGAGTACCTAGCGAACAGGGCAGAACACTTGGAAGGAAGGTCAGACACCAGCAAGGGCAGCCAGAGCACCCCCAGAAGTGGGAGGGAGGCGCACCAGCTGCTGCAGGAGGACTGGCAGGAGGCGGCTACAGCGCGTAGGACAACGCGATGCGGTAGATGTGCACGGGGAGCAGGAATGCCTCGGAGAACTAGTCTCTTTGCTACCGGACCCAAAACGTTTTCAGCCGGGGAGGCTACACAAATACGTAGCAGTGTGGCGAGAGTTTTTCCAAACAGCTAATGAGGGCCTGCGGCTCAGGGACAAACAGAGCCAGTGGCAATGGTCATCTGGAGGGAGGCATTCAGCTCAAGTGGGTTACCGTGCGATCACCCAGGGCAGGACTTAGCGCCTGAACGGCAGTGCAAACTAGCCATCGTGGGGGAGATGCTACTGGTCGCTCAGCTGGATGGTAACCCAGAGGCGATGCTGGCGGGAAGCCGGCCGCATGCCGTGCAGTTCCCTAAACACTGCAGGGCGACACAACACAGCAATTTTCGTTCACGCTGAATTGCACAACGCATTAGAGCGCGGAGTAATCCGGGAATGTACGGGAATGTACGGGGCCCCACCCACAGTCATCAACGGCCTGAGATGGTGGAAAGGCCCACAGCGAGCTGTTCATTCCGAGACCACCAAGTGCCTAACGCAGCCCAACGGGGCCCAAAGGGCCCCCTGTATCGGTTCACGAGGACGGTTGCAGAGCAGTCAGGATGCGACGGAGGGTCGGGCACAGGATACGGATGGGAAAGAGTGGGATAGAAATGTAGAGCCCCCTGGATAGGGATGACAGATGGCCCAGAATGGCGGCATGTTTGGAAGGGTCGATGCCAACCCACCAAGGGTGAGGATGGCGGAGGGGATGCAGGATGCAGTCACCAGGATGCGGCTGTTGAATGTTTGGCTCGAGGATACGAAAGGGGTGATGGTGGTGTAGGATGTATCCAATCGACAGAATGCGTGCCTGATCCCCCTCCCGAGGGTGCGAGGATGGGGCCCCGCTCTGCACCCACTCGGCCCAGGCAGTATATGTGATCTGGTAGGACCAGTGGGAATGGAGGGCTAGGGAGCAAGACTACCCAGGGGGCCCGCCTGGATAGAGTGTGTGGGAAGGGGACACCCGTTCCCTGGCGTGGTTGGGGCTGGTCTGCGTTTTCCTTGGAGGTCTTGGGTCGCAGACGCAATGGCCTTCCCCATAAAACGTTAGCAGCGATCACGGATCCCGCGCTGACATTCAAGCCTGATTTTACGGATTGGTAGACCCCTTTTTCCCCGAGTGGGACCGCAGGTCCGCGGTATTGAGTTGCGGTATGCACAGATAGATTCGTAGCGAGACGCATTCGCAAACATAGATATCTTTACGGAACCTTTGCAACCAGTCCATTCATGACAGCGCCGGGACGGTAACTGGAAAACCCTTACATCGTTAAAGTTTTATTACTAATACTTCGTTGTCATTAGTCGGCCAGGGCCGCCCACCACCTTGTCGTCTGACGTCATCTATCCATTGTCACTAGAGCGCTGGATAATTCTAATTCCTTTGGCAGCAGCGTTTCCCCGCATCATCGCCCGCTCCAAAATACAGCGTTTATATGCCACTTTGCAGTAAACCTCACTCATTACGTTGGACCACCCCTCCTAGTTAGGTTCTTACTCGCGCGCAACCGCATGGTTACCCGGGGCTCAGGTCGTCCTCGATCGTTTAAGCACACAATCATTTATATTGACGTGGGCTCTATCACTATGGAAACTGTGATCTATCATCCATCCGCGCATGTTGGTCCTTCCAATGCCGCCCACCTCTACCCGCGAGCGCAAAATCCGAACGGACCACTGGATAGGACAGACTGTCAAACACTCCGCCCGCTGCACAAGCCTGTCCAGCGATGAAGCCAGTCCCATAAGCCATCACCTGAAAACTAAAATGGCACTGTATCAATCTTGCTATAAAACATTGCGTAGGTGTCGTGTTATGAACATCGAACACTGATGAACTTGCATGCAGAGCGGTGGCTGGTGTTTAGGTGACGCGCAGTTCCTCCGCTCTACCTAAGCGGAGCACCTGCTTGGCTGGGTCCTCGTGAACCTCGACCTAAGCTGTAATCTTGTTGCTGAGGCTTCCCCCGACTTGTGACTAGGCCGGGTCAGGTCCCTAACAGTCAGCCCCGCCTCACGTGGTCCCACATGACCCGACTTGCAGCGTCCAGCAGCCCCCACCGGGCCATGACCAGCCGCCTGGTGCTGCTGGCGGTGGTGGCCGTACTGTGCCTGATGGCACCGCAGGGTGAGTGGCGGAGGACGTACATAAGTGGCGCCTGGTCTCGCGCTGCAATTATGGCTGATGCTGATGATGCTGATGATCCTGGATGGTGGACACGCGGAACGGCTGCAGCGAGCTGTGCAGCGCCGTGGGGCATATGGCAACAACGTTTTCAGGACGCGCGCACGCAGGCTTGTATGTGGAGCGCTTGCGGCATGCCGTGTGCATCCGTAAATGATAGCCCGCATAACATATGTGTGTTACGCCTCGGTTACATATGCATATCATTCAACGCTGCATCCTCTCTGCTTACGCTAGCTCCTGCGCTCCCTCTTGCGTTGCCTCGTGGAACGTTGTCGTGTCTTTGCTGCAGCGAGTGCGCAAGTCGGCACCACGCGTGATGGACACGACAAACCGAAGGTACCCGATTAGTGAGCGAGTGCCGCGCTGCATCTCCAACGGTTACTAGCCGGCGACAAGCCTTGCCGAATCCCTTTCTTGCCTTCCTCAGCTCATGCAGAGCCCCGTCAGGGCTTGCAAGTGCATCCCGACCCTCTAGTATGATTTAAAACTCAGCCTGTTGTTAGCAGCTTGCCTCAAGCAGCGCCTCGAGAGGGTGTATGTTTAATATGTTAAAAGCTACGCATCTGACTGCCCATTCCCAAACTTACGTTCGTCTTGCCACTGCCGCGAAAAGTGTCTAATTGTACTTCAACTGACGTACTGCCATCGGCCCCAAGCCGCCGTCCCCCAAGCCGCCGTCCCCCAAGCCGCCGTCCCCCAAGCCGCCGTCCCCCAAGCCGCCGTCCCCCAAGCCGCCGTCCCCCAAGCCGCCGTCGCCCAAGCCGCCGTCGCCCAAGCCGCCGTCGCCCAAGCCGCCGTCGCCCAAGCCGCCGTCGCCCAAGCCGCCGTCGCCCAAGCCGCCGTCGCCCAAGCCGCCGTCGCCCAAGCCGCCGAGTCAGCCATTGGCCCCTCAAAAAGCCAAAGTTATTGAAAAGGTCAAAGGTAAGCTGTGCGAAGCGAGCCATTCGTCCTGGCCATTCCGCACTTCCGCACGCACTCCCCTGTGGCACCGACGCCGCTTCTACATGAAGTGAAACGCGGCTTATTAGCATACGGACAGCAGCAACCGCCGATGCCGCGGCAGTGTCCTGAACTTCTTTGACGCCGTGACGGCGGTGATGGTCAGAGCAAGCTCCTCATATCCTAATGTTTAGGTTGCGTGCGCATGGGTGCTGCCCAGCAGTGCCCTTCAACGCGGCTCATCAGCTCATCCCCTTACTACCTTCGCAGCCCAGCGCCATGCACAGCCTCCGCAGAATCCTGTTTAACCTCGCGCACGGCCCTCTTCCCCAATTCCACCCGAATGCAGTCAAAGGCAAAGCCAAAGGCAAGAAGTTCCTCAAGTCCAAGAAGTTGGAGTACATCATTTCAGGCTCGAAGGTTGGATACAAGGAAGCGGACGAGTTTTGCAAGTCCGAGGGCTACATTCTGGTGTCATTGGCCAACGAGGGGATTTCAGGTGAGAACGTTTCCAGTTACGTACGTACGTGGTTCTGTGTGACGAGGCCTTTGCTGCCTGCCACCGTACCAAGCTGAACTTGACGGGTCGGGTTCTGGCGTATAAATTCGGTGCAGGAGCGGCTGCGAAAGGCTGCTCGTTCAGGGTGGTGCGACACGGCATGTGTAATGTGTGCTAGGTGCGCTTACATTTTGCCGTCCCAATAACAGCAGGTCGGACCCATGCGCGGCACTACACGTCAAAGCAGCTATTCCGCATAATGGATTTGGTCGGGGGGATCGCCCACCGCTCCGTCTGCTGATTGGGCATGCACCTGCGAATACACCCCCGCACCGCGTCAGCCCCCTTAGACCTGCATGCGAGTAACGCCTAAATGTATCTTGGGAAGCTGACTATAACTCCTTTCCCCCTGCGGGCCTCTCCATCGACACTTGCAGAAACCGCCTACTCGATCTGCTATCTCGACGGAAAGAGCTGCTGGCTGTGGGACGAGAAGCCTGGCTCGTGTCCATACCTAGACGCATCGGGCGACGGAGACACCTATGTGGACGACTGCAAGGCCAAGAATTACGCGCTCTGCTTCGGATTTAAGAAGGGAATACCTTAAACCGAAAAAGTGACACCCCCCATGTATTCGCGCAGGCGCGCAGCAAGGTCTTCCCTAGCTGCGACGTTTCACCAGCTAAGGGTGCATAGGTGTTAGGTGTTGCATAATTGTATGTACGATATGTCGTGTGCGCCCATGCATGCAGAGCGTGATTAACCTGCAGAGCGTGATTAAACCTGTGATCTGGCTACGGCAGATGCGCATGATTTCAGCCCCCACACTCCGGCTGATTCGGGCAGGATAGCACGTGCGTAAACCCAAGGCTGCCTTGTCGCCTGCTCCATCAGGGCGGAATGACCGACCATTTATTTATTTTGGCGCGGTACCAGGTTGTACATCACGCCTCGGAGGTTTGCTTGGGAGCGATTTGGCTGTCTGGCCTCGTTGCACCGCGAAACCAGTGATCGCGATAAAAGTTGGGCGTGCAAGTCGTGCACCTGCAGTCCGTGTTTCTTGTGGACAAGCGGTAGGCTGGGCTGAACAGAAAGTAGCATAAATGATAATGTCTTCCCAGATGTGCTCTATTGCATCCGTAAGCAGGTTCTGTAACCTTGGACCACTACCTCACACGCCTCATTTATATTATACGCAAAAATTCCACTTCGGAGGACAAACTCCCTTGCTGAATGAACGCCTGCCCAGCTGCCAAGACAACAAACCGCCGCCACAGCAAACCCACGCCAATGCCCCTCCAGCCCACTGTCATGTCCACATTCGGCCCGATGTTGCCTGCTCGCAATTTACACAGTTGCAAGATACGATGCAGCCGCGCAATTTGCTGATTCCTCAGGCTGTGTGAGGTTAAATCTCTGGACGTATGGCAACTAACCCGAATTAAGGTTATGGCAGGTACAACGGATGGCATCCCGGAAACGGACGGACGGAATCCCAAGACATCTCCGGGACTGCCATCGGCCTAATCGTGTTACCTATGACTTCGCGAAAGGATTTTGCCTTTCCTATTGCAACCTCGTAAGGGACTGCCCCAACGCCCTGCCAGACGCTTGGGGTTGATTTCTGGCATCAAATTCATTTTTGGGCATCGCAGTTATTCATCTCATTCCATTCCTGCCTACACTTGTGAGAAACGCTGGCCCCGCAGACCTCTGAAAGGATCTTCTTTGTTTCCGCCAATGGCTCCCATGCTGTCCAAAAACGATGTCGCAGCTCGAAGCAAGGACTTACGCGCTGCCGTGCAAAGCAATGCACGACGTACATCCGGCCCCCCGTACGCCCTTACAGCATACGGATCCCATACGGGCATTGCACGACCGCCTACAAACCCTCCTTAGACACAGCGTGCTTTACCAAGGTCCCACAGACCTCCACATGTCTCATCCATTCTTCCCGCCATAATGGTGGGGGCCCGACGCGCTGCAACAGTAGCACACACGCGGTGCCGGGCTGACAAACCTTCGTTGCACGACGGCCTTGCAAATGGACGGACCCAGGAAGCGTTTCACGGCCCCTGCTGGGACGTTGTGTGTGTGCTTGTGTGTGTCGCTCAGGCGGTTCACAAATACGCTGGTTGATTGCTTGCCTCTGCAGTTTGATGATGTTTACGCTCCTTTCGTAAAAGCACGGTTCATTTCAAGGCCTACTTTCAAGCAGCTACACATCGCCGTGGACTTTGTCCTTCTTTAGGGACGGGCGGGGGCACGTGCGGTCTCCGAAACGCCAGCGACAACGCCATCGAAAGCATATGAGCTCCTGGCTTCCAAGCTCCTGACTACCCAGCAGCGTCGCCGCCCGCTTGGCTAATCCGACAACACCGCAACAACCAGAATAAGAAAACCAGAGCATGTCTAGCCGCACCGAGTGCCATCGCCGTCGTCAATGCAGACTGCTACAAGGAAGCCCCTACAAGCCAACTCGGACCCGGCAAACCAAGCGACCTTGCGACCTGAGTGAGCGACCACGGGCCCGTCAATCTGTGCCTAGACCAGCGCCATACCCGGCATGAATGCCAAAGTTAGGCCCGTTGTGAAGCCCGCCACGGAAGGCAGACCCTGACGTCAAAAGCGAAACGGGGAGGACGGTGCTAACTGTTACGGCATGGGCACGGCGGAAACATTGTTGGATCAGGCATGCACGCGGGAGATCGGCATGGCGAACATGCGGCTATATGGTCATAAAGCATATAAGGCAATAAATTATTTTGCGACCGTGCAACTGCCGCATTGGCCCCTGCAGGCATAACCCCATCGCCGCTCCTGTTCGGAGGCCCACCTGCGAGAGCACCGTCGCCAGACGCTCCGAAGCCACGGCCAGCAGAGCGGACGCGTCCAGACCCCCAGTCCCAGTCCCGTCCTCGCCACTGGATGAGCGGCGAAGGTGTGCACGGGTAACCACACAGACCCGCGGCAACGTATTAATGCTACGCGCCTTCGTTGACAACCTTTTGGAACTACTACGGAGTTGTAGTGACTCATGACAAAAGGCGTGCATCATCGCTAAGGCATCCGCGCGAGTCGTGGATATGCTCACCTTCCGTTTCCAAGAAGCTTTGCAAGGTCGGCGTCGATCCGGTCCCAGTGCACCGTGACCCATTTCAGGTAGGCAAGGGCCTGGGATATGGGAGGTCCGGAATACCGAATTCGCAGCAGTGTCTCAGGATTGTCTAACCGTTTGTATGTTTATCGTTAACATAAAGTTAAACAAGATGCTTCGGCGAAATCTATGTGTATTTTTTGTATGAACATCGTCGCGGCGATAGGTGCATTTGCCGGCGAAGTGCGAGCATGCGTGCGTTCGTGCGAACAGGCGGGCGGACAAGCGTTACGGCACTGAGCTGATGAAATGCCCTAACACAAAGGGAGCCCGCCGCCTTCGCCAAGCAGAGCATTATTAACATTGATGTTGATAATGGTAATGATGATGATGATGGATTATTTCATGATGACGCACAGCCGCTAAGTTATGATATTCCTAATGCAAGTTTCAAGATAGCTCTGCCCAGGCGGGATGCAGATTGCTTGGCAAGACGAGCTGTGAATGCCATGCTAATGTTATGCATGCGATCAGGTTTGGTTGAATTGGCGCATATTGTCACACCCTGCCTCCATGCATGTAGCACAATAGGCTGAATTAATGGAACATTTCAGTAGCAATACATCGCTTTCTCGAAGACTTAGGAAGCGAATTCAAGACGGACACTAAGGCCGAATGGCGACTTGTAGGATTCGGGCCAAAAAACGCGGGGTATTGCGTGAAACTGTTTGTTCCCTAACCGCCATAGCCCAACCTGCACAGCGCTGATGATGAAAGCCGCCCCTAGCAGCAGCACTTGCAGCACTTTCTGCAAGGGGTATATGCGTTCACGCATTTGAGATTAAAACATGTAGAAAGGACAGGTGGCCCATCTCCCAGTTGCAGCTCGTCCACCAGATTTAACTGTTATCTATCCGAGAGTACGGTCAAAGGCCAATCATACAATCGCAAAGCCAGTGCATCGCGCATACAATAATGGCCGTGCTGCCAAGGGCAGCCAGGGACTAGTTCAGCACGGGTAACGCACCCTGGCCAATAGCCCGCAGGCGTAGCCCACTATGCCGCTCATACCCACTGGTTGCACAAATGGCCATGCTTGTGCTGCTAGAGCCGCCGCCTGTAAACCTGCGAAATTATACCGGGACATCAGATGATTGACCGATGACAGCGTCAAGTAACTGGGGAGGGGTGAAGCTAAGTGTGGAGATCAGCCCGTTTCTCGTGTAAGGATATCAAACATAGTTTAAGCTTACCAAAACTTCTTATTGTGCTTGCCGTAAATTGTGCAGTTCCGTCTTTGTCTGTTGCAGTTTCGCGACGGGAACCATCGCCGGGACAGACATCCCCATCACCACAGGCCCATAATAGTTCATGACTGTAAGCATAGCCTATGACGGTAATGGCCAGCAGCAGGAGGGAAGCCCATGCCCGTGCAATCAGAAGCAGCATGGCTCTGGACTCTGGGCCCCTCATAAATAGATGTTCCATCTACGAGCTAATGCAGTTATTAACTCGTTGCACCGGTTCGTCTCGGACGGATATGCCGTACACGAGAGTAAGTTTCAAGAAACATTTTGGCACGCCCAGCTTGGCTGTACAGCCGAGTTCTCAAAAGAATCTGGCTCTTTAACTAGCTGTGCATTACCAAATTCTGGCGTTGGACTCCCCATTTCCATGACTAGTTGTTTCGCCCTTGTGTGCATAGTAAACAGCTGTAGAGGACACACCTAATATCGTTTTACTGTTGCGAATGTGTCCACGTTAAGTCTTTGTGGCTTTTAACAAGGGGAGGCCGTGTCAAGGCCCCCAAGCCTATTGCTTTAGCGTCATTTTGACCTCACAGACATTACAAACGATGAAAATAGACTTGATCAGCTAACAAAGTGCCTTGGGGCTTAAGGCCCCGGTCATCTGTCCGAGCACATTCAGGTGCACCTGAAAGCCTTCTCTGTATGCACGATGGCGAATGCATTCGATGTTCTGGAAGGTATGAGGCGGCGGACACAGCTCGTGGCGTCACACCGCGAGGACTTTGGGGGTCTGCGCCTGTCAAGCAAGGAGCTGGGGCACTTATCAACCCCAGTGTTGCAGCCCAGTTCGCATGAATCGCTTCTCACTGCGAAGTGCGGTTTACCGGGGTCTGTGATGTCATACGCCTGCGAAGCCGGAGAGCCATGTCCAGCAACCACAGGTAAGTGTAGGGCCACCTCAGTCTGCCTGGTATGATGCGCTCATAAAGGCAAGGCGTAAAGCATTAATTATGCAATGTATTTTGTCCTTAGTTGGCTTGCAACGCGGCCCTTTGAAAGTGTTCTCGCGCCAACGCCTTGGGTATGGCGACCCGGTTTCGTCCAGGGTTTATTACAACAGACCCCTCGTATGTGGTTAAGCATTGCAATGATCCTCATGGGCATCTCCTGGGGGCCTGGCCGACAGCTACTGTTGTTCGAGCTTGTAACTGAGGTTGGACGGAAGTGAATGGGCCTTTAATGGAACGCTAATGATCTATACTATGATAAATCCCAAGGGGCCAGTAGTTGAGGTTGTTGCTCGCGTTCACACTTTGCCCGTTTCCATGCCGTCTGGAGCAGGTGGCGATGCGCGCTTTGCTGCGCTACCGAACTCTGCGACTCTCATAAAAACCAGTCAAGGCGACTGGTCGGTTGCGCAGCAGTGGACCGCGCGTGCCCCAGTCGTCAGCCCTTCTCGTCTTGACCCGTCTATCAGCGGTCACCAACCACTCGCCGGACTTCCTCCTCCGGGCAGCCGCAATGGTTCAACGTCGGTCGCGCCTGCACCCACGCATGGCCATGGCGTCGCGGGATCCCTGAGCAGCTCTGGCAGTGGCTCTTCCATGCAGGGCGGGGAGCAGCGATCTCCATTTGGTAGCACTGCTGTGTCTGGAGGCTGGTGTTTAGCTTCCTCACAGCCTCCGACGGCCGGCCAGGGTGACCACCCGAAAAAATCCTCTTTATTTCAAGGCACATCTGCGCCGAATGGCCACCCAAGCATTCAGCCTTCTGGAAATGGGGATTCTGCTGCGCCTTGGCCGAGCACTTGCCGCCTGGGCAACTCGCAGCCCGGCGATGCCCTGTTACAGCAGCAGCAACAGCAGTACCAAAGGCAGCAGCGCCGCCGAGTGGCTACACATGATGGGTCCTTGCAGGAGCAACAACATCAAGAACAACAATACCGTAGCCCTCCCCAGCAGCAACAGCAGAAGCCCTGCAACACCCAGCGAGCGCACACGTTGGGGCCCGTCGACTGGCAGCGGCAGCAACAGACAACACCAGTCCAGCAGCGAGGGCTCTTATTCCCGCAGCAGCTCCAGCATGAGCAGCAGATGGAGATGCATGGCACTCAGCAGCAGCAGCAGACGCAGCCGATCCCAAAGTTCAGTGCCCAAGTGCAAACGCAGGGTAACCAAATGTGCGGGGACTTGCAGGGGACCCTCCGGCCTGGCGACACGTCGCTTGGCGTGCATCGGCAGCCGGGGACACAGCCGGCAGGTTACGCAACGGGGCTTGGACAGCAGCAGCAGCACTTTCTGCAACAACAACAGCAACATCAAGCAGCTGTCTCGCAACCCCTCAGCGGCGGTGCGCAGCTGGCCACAGCCTGTGGGCCCCAACAGGACCCTCGCTTCCCCATGCTTCAGCTCCTAGATAGCCAGCCCAGGCACCTGCCGCTGGTGGACCAATCGCCGTCCGGTGCCCACTTGTCTTCATTACAGTCACTATCGCAGTTGCTGCAACCAGAGCAGCAGCAGCAAGAGCAACCACAGTCTTTCAGGACTGCATCAGCGCAACTGCTGAGCCATAACGGGAGGATGGCAGCGCGAGGCGTGAACGAATGCACCAATGGCACTTCAAGCGCGGATGCCTTGTTGGCTGCTTGCCAGCAACCCCTTCCCATGGCCTCCGGGCTGCAACGGCAGCAAGGAGCTCGATTGCTTCCTTCCGAGCAGGGACAAGAGATGCGTTCAGGACCTCAACAGTACCCTGGGTCGCAGCTGCAGCAGAGCATGGCGGGGCTGCAGGGTCCACAGCCGCAAGCGGACGCACATGCCCTGATGGCTAGACCAGGACAGCAAGGCATGCAGATGCAGCCGTGGCCGCACGCGGCACAGGCGCAGCCGGGACAACAGGGGCAGTCTGGCGAGCAGGGAATACGGTTACAGGCAGGACTGCAAGGCCCAGAGACTGCCGAGCATGGTCAACACAGGTGTGAGCCAACGCTATGTCAGCAACCCCATCAGCATGTAGACCAGCAGGAGCAAGCTTGCCATGCGTCCAATAAACTAGCTTCGCAGCAGACGCAAGCACAGTGTGTTGCCCAGGAGTTATCGTGGGGACAGCAGCCGCAATCGGACATTACTGAGGAATGGACGCAGGTGCAGCAACGGCGAATGCAACAGCAATTGCAGCAGCAGCGCAGGGATCCTTTGCCCCAACAGACTCCAACTCCTGCGTCTCCTCGGTGCACAGTGCTGCAGCAACGGCAGCCACAGGAACAGCAGCTGCAGCAGCAGCAGCAGCTCCAGTGGCCGCTGCAGCAGATGCAGCTCCAAAAAGAGCAGCAACGGCGGGAGGAGGAGGAGGAGCGACAGCGGCAGGAGGACCAGCGGCAGCTCCAGCAGCTGCTGATGCCGGAGCTGGACGGCTTTGAGGATTGGCAGCAGGATCAGCAGCAGCTTCAAACCCAATCAACATCGCAGCCAGGGACCGTAAACAACTGGCCAGCACCTCTGCAGGCATGTCCACAGTCTATTCAGGCCTACGGCGGAGGCGGAATGACGGCTCAGCGGCAGCACCTGGTGCCAGAGCAGGCCCTGCAGGAGCTCTCGGTCCAGCGAACGCCAGCCAGGCAGGCTCTGCAAGGCTACCCGGGAACCCTACCAAAGGACTCCCAACTGCTGGGAAATGAGCGGGGGCTGGGGCAGCAAGTCTTCCCGTACCAGATGCAGAGCCAAACGTTGTCGTCCTTGGATCAACAGACGCGGGTCCAAGTGCAAGACCTGCCCAGGCAACCAGAGGAGACGTCCCACGGCCAGCGCGTGACAGAGTTGCAATTGCAGCAGCAGGCCAAGGCGCAGTCACAGCAGGACGGGGTTTCTTGGCCGTCCGCAGCCGCGGGACCACCAACTGGACAGCAGCACTCCCTGGTTGCGGGAAGCTCGTTGTTGCAGCCGGGGCCCGCCCTGAGCGCAAGTGGAGGTCAGTTGAGAGCCAGTCCGCAGGACAGTTTTCAGGGCCTAGCGGCATTCACCAAGACACAGCCGGCAAGGCTGGAAGAACCGCGGTTTGCTGGTCCGCCGCTATCGTCGTCTGCGTCGCGCCAACAGTCGACCTGCTTGTCCTCACCTTCTGGTATCGCGTCGCAGTCGCTGGTGCCCTCGGCGCCAGTCGGCACGTCGTCGGGACCCACGGCCATGGCAGCTAGCTCAGGCAGTGGGCTGTCGCACCTGCAGCAGCAGCCATGGGCTGGGGTGATGTCGTCGATTCGGCAGCAGCAGCAGCAGCAGCCGATGGAAATGCAATACAAGCCGCGTTACAACAGCGAAACTGCACAAATGTCAGCAGGCTTGTCACGGGTCACCAAATTCAGCAGCACCACACCAGAATCGCAACTTGAACTATTGCAGCAGCAGCAGCAGCATCGACTGCTACCCTCCCAGCCGCCGCCCCAGCTGCATGAGGCAATGTTTGTGAATCCAGCGTCGCACAATGGCCAACAGGTTCCACAGCATCGGAGCCGCACTGATGTCCACATTCAACCCCCCACATTAGATTGCCAACTGCAGTCGCAGCAACAGCAGCATCAATTGTCAGGCCAAGACAGCTGTACAACACCGGACGGGGCGGGGCAAGAGGAGGTGGAGGCGGTGCCTCATGGAAGAGCGGTGGCAAGGGTGGCTACCCCACCGAATGCGCATGCTGGTGCGGCTCTGCTTCGGCGTGGAGCCGAGGCTCTTCCGCAGCAACAGCAGAAAGGGCAGGGCAGGCCGGGTCTCCCAGAATCTGTAAGCCCTCAGCAGCAGCACGGGCAGTGGCCGCAGCCACAACAGCAGCGGTTGCAACACGGGCAAGCACAGGGCCGGGACGCGCAGCAGCGGCCTGAGGAGGGCCTGAACGTGAGCCCGTCACATGCGCTAAGCAGCGAGGCGCTCTGCATCCGCCAGGCCCAAGGCCAGGATCAGCTCCAATGCTGCACAGGTCAGCTGATGCAACAGCAAATAGGTCAGATGCAGTCTTTGCAGCAGCAGCCGCACAATCTCTCGGCCAGCCAGCATATGCGTGAAGAGCAACAGCCGCACAGCACCCTCCTGGCCGGACCACATATGCATGGCCAGCAGCAGCAGCAGCAGCAGCTCAAGCCCGGCCAGCTAACACTGCCATCCCGCACGTCCGCAAAGCCTACTGAGCTGCTTCTGGGGCGGCCCCTGCTGCCGCTCTTTACGCCAGTTCAGGACAATGGCCATTATGCATCAGGTGACCAGGTAAAGCCTTGCCAGCAGCAGCAACAACAGCAACAGCAACAGTTGATGCTTCTAGCCGTCTTGGGCGGCTTGTCATCGGCAAACGCATCCCAGCAGCAGCCTATGGGCACAGGTGCGGTGACAGCCGAGTCAAAGAACGCGATGGGGACCCATTGCTCGGTCCTTGCGCGGCATCCAACGCAACAGCTTCACCAGGTAGGCGGGCGGCTCCGAGTTGTTATGAACTAGGCAGGGTTCTTTGCGCTTAGGAGAGGACACGAGCAAAAGGCTATTCGTTCGAGCGTGCGTGGCAGCGGGCCTGGTCGGGGCGCAACTGGACAGGCGGGGTAAACACAATTACCTCAAACCAGGGCAGCTTTCTTTAGATCTTAAGTTATCTAACGCGCAATTCGGGAAGAAGAAGACACCTATCTGAGCTCCGCGTGCTACTTACTTTGCATTTCTAGGTCTCTGGGCTGCGGTGTATACAGCGACTGTGATTACGTTACTTCGCAATTGGTTTTAGATACGCTTGGCTTAGGCTTCGCGGCGCAGGTAGTATGTTCCAGCAGGCCGCGAGTAGGCTGAGGGTGGCTGTTTGCGACGCTGCATTGGGAAGTCTCCTCACTTGACATGCGCACCCGTGCCTGTCAACCGTGCAGATTGGCCAGGCGCCAACGCTGCTTCAGCAGCAGCAGCAGCCGGAGGTGATGCGGACAACGACGCAAATGGCCGCAGCCCAGGCGCATCCTGCAGCGCTGGGTGCCGCCCCGGGGACCACCGCAGCCGCAGTCAGCAACAGAACTTTCAACACCTACGTTGACCCGCCTCTTCTGGCCACGCAGGACTCCGGGCTGCTGTTACCTCAGGAGCAGCAACGTCTGCAGCTGCAGCAGCACCACCAGTGGCAAGTCTTGCAGCAGCACCACCTCCTACAACAACAAAAGCAACGCCAGCAGCAGCAGCAACAACAGGAGGAGGTCCGCCATCTCACAGCACAGAGCGGTCAGCAGGGGCCATACAGCGCCTGTGCTGCGCCGCAGTGGGCTTTCCAGCACGCGGAGTCTTTCGGCCTGGGTGTTGGGCCCGGCGGGGCTTCCGCCGGCTCAAGCGCTGCGGCTGGTGGGGCTGTGGCCCCAGGGACTCTGTGTGGGCTGCCCTTGGGGCAAGTGCGTGCGGAGGTGATGCGTTCCTGGAGGTCTGGTGAAGGGCAAGTGCAGCAGCAACAGTTGAATCTCGATCAGGAGCACATGGCGCCGCGTCCCCAGCTAAGCAGCTCCACACCCATGCCACCTCAGCAGCAACAGCAGCATATCAACGGCAACCAGAACCAACATCATTACCCGCAACAGCAAGATCGGGGACTCCTGCAGCAGCAGCAGAAGCTACAGGACCAGGCGGCAAACGCTCTTCCCGGCACTGCGCCGCTGTCTTTTGACTGGAGGTCCTGGGCCAGTGGTTCGTCGGCCATGGCGCCTGGTACAATGGCTGCACCTGCAAGCGGCGTAGGCTGTGTCCCCGCGGCCAGCTCGCTGGTTTCTGGGCAGGTGCCGTCGCAACTGCCAACCGCGCCCTGGACGTCCTCTGCGCTCCCTGCTACGACCATGCTGGCTGGAGCGTCGCCTGCGGCGTGGCTCGTCCAAGGTGGCGCTTGGGGAGGTGCGGGCAGCAGCGGAAGCAACAGCAACAATGGCGGAGCTGTAAGTTTGGAACCGCCTTATAAGCGCACGAAGCGAGAGGGTGGCGCTGTGGCGTTGCAGTCCCAGTCCAAGGCGGCACCGACGGCTTCATTACTCGGCGACCCGACGGGGAAGAACTCGCTGGGCGACGCGGGCAAGGCTGCGGTGGCAGCTGCAATTGAGGCGATGGATCGGCTGGTTGCGCCCATCCACGGCCTCCGGCGAAACTCGGGCAGCTGGGCGCCACCCCTGGTCCTAAGCCCAGCGCCTGGGTACGAATCAAGCTCTGAAACCAACTCAAACTCGGTACGGAAGGCAGCTGCGCCTAAAGCCTTCTACGGTCACTATCGTCATCAACAACAGCAACCCCTCAACTCGTTGCTGCTGGAGCAGCAGCACCATCTCGAGTTGCGGCAGCAACTGCTGAACCAGCAGCAGCAGCAGCAGCAGCGGCGACGGAGCCAACCAGGAGGGAAAAGGAGCCAAGGCAGTAGCAACGGCGGCGCTGTAGTCACAGCGCCGGCCGCCATGCCTTTCCCGGCCCCGCTTCCGCGGTCGGAGCTTATGCCTCCGGCGCCAGGCGCTTCAGCTAATGCTTCAGATACCCCTGCCGTACAGGGCGGATGTCAATGGGGCTCAGAGGACTCCTTTCCAAGGGCACCGGCCGCGGTACCGTTGCAGCCGCCGCGGTCAGCGGCAGGCACAGTGGCGACGACGGCGACGGCTACACCGCCGCTGCGGCGTCAGGTACCGTCCACGCCACAGAAAGCGACGGTGGCTGCATCGGGGCCCCCTCCGGCGGAGGAAGGCTGCGCGCGTTCGCGACCCATCGACCTCTCCAAGCTGGGTCAGCACCGCTTAAAGCCGCCGCCCATCATCCATCCCCTACGACCTGGCTCACGGCTTCCGCTGGTCGCGGCGGGGCTGAGGGTTTCCGCCGTCGGGCTGCCCGGCGGCGCTGCTGCTCTGGCATCGCCAATTGGCACCGGGGCTTCGCAAACGGAGGACGCCAACGCCTTGGATGGCGCCTTGGTGCCGCACGGTGCGGCCGCTGCCTCCACCGGTGGCAGCGCCGCTGCCACCGGAAAGCGACTGCCAGTCAAGGATAGGAGGGTGGCTGTGGAGCTGCTGCCAGTGGTGGGGAAGGCTGTAGGCGCAGGGGCTGGAGGCGTGAGGTTGCGCGGCGGGGCAGGCGGCCGGGGCGGCGGCGACGGCCAGGCGGCGGCCACCGGGAAGCTGCTCAACGCGCTACGAGATGCCAAGGCAATAATGAGTCGCAGGTTGGTCTCTCATTAATCTGGGAGTTAAGTAGAGGACACCGTGGCGGTGGGTCCGGGGCACAGAGTGCAGTCCTCCTCCCACCCCCTGGGAAGTATTTCCACTTCCTTTGCGACTCTGCTTCCTTTCAGCCTGGCGCTGTCATGCAGATGTGAAGGCTAGCCACCCTTTGGCCACATTATCAATCACTACACTTTTAAATGTCCCCTATTGGCTGCGTCGCCACGGCGTTGCTATCTGACCGTTAGTTGCCCAGGCAGTTGTACATGTTATCCGGGTGCCCCTTGCCTCCCTGGCCTGACGTCGACTTGCACTGACGTCGACCCCTGCTCTGTCGCCCCATCGCCAGGTTCGTGGTGCGGCGCTCCGGCATTGCGCAGTTGGGCGTCTTTGCGGCGGAGCGCATCCCCGCAGACACCCTCCTGATGGAATACCACGGGGAGGCGGTGCGGACCTCAGTGGCAGACCTGCGGGAGAAGAGGTAACAAGGGGCACGTGGGGATGTGGGTGTATGTGTGTTGACGCTGCGGGGGGCCACGTGCACATGTGCGTGTGAGCGCACCGAGGGCCAGGCGGTGTTTCATCACACCAGTAAGGGGGTGCATCTATGGGTGTGGGCTTCCCCGCAGCCCTCAGTTCTCCAGCCACAAATAAGCCCTGCTCTGAAGGGGCTTACTGCGAGCTAGTGTTCGCCTTCTCCATTGGTCCCCGCCCCGCCGTGCCCTCAACACCCGCCCGGCCGCGCGCCCACCCTACCTCGCTCTCGGCTCCAGGTATTCTGCAGCCGGCCTGGGCTGCTACCTGTTCAATCCGGGCGGTCTCCCTGACGAGGCGGTGGTGCTAGATGCGACGCACCGCGGCAACATCATGCGCTTCGTCAATCATTCATGCGGGTGAGCGAGTGCGTGCGACACCTCGGATAGCACCTGGTACGGCCCTTGGGTGGTACTCGATACCTATCCGGTGACACTATTACTCCCCCTCGCATTGCGCACAATTCCCTCTCTCGCCCTTAGCACACGCGCCCGCACTGCGTTTCCAGTTAACTGGTCTCTTGACTTGCTTTCCGTGTAATCAGGCCTCCATATGCGCTATTAGACTCGGACCCTTCCCTCCGCCTTGGCGTGAGGGGAGGAGAGATTTCGCTGCGGGAAGGGACTCCCATAGGGCTGGACACAGTAGTCACTCAGAGCGCTCGATCATTTACCATTGTTCGCATATGGCTGTAGGCCCAATTGCGTTTCAAGGACAGTGGTGATCGAGGGGCAGCGGCGCATCTTCCTATTCTCCCTTCACGAGCTGCATCCGGGTACGGAGCTAACGTATGATTACAAACTCAGCTCGGCGCTGTGCATGGATGCGTTCAAGGTGAGGCGGTCGTGGTGGGCGTATACAGTGAGCGGAGTTACTGGGAGGCAGAGAGAAAGCGGTAAAGGGGATTACGTGCGGGCGGGCGGCGGAAGGGCAGGGGGTCGTGGGCGTTCGTCAGGTGGATGCACAGCGGACCACTTCTGCTGTTAACCAGAACTTCTGAGCTCGTCCCAGGAACTTGCACGTTTCCCCCACCCATCCCCAAGCCTTCCTGGACATTGCCTCTTCTTGTCTTGTTTTCATTGCGCTTAGCGTGCATGTGCATTCAGGTTTTCCGTTCCCTTTTCATGTGGTTACATCTTACACGCGGACTTCCCAATTCCTTTCCGCAGGGCCTTCCCGAGGAGTACATCGAACAGGCCGCAGCGCAGATTGGCACTGTGTTGCTACGGTGCCAGTGCGGCCATGAGCGCTGCCGCACATATCTTTAGCAGCAACCGCTGCTGGGTGGCAGCCAGCTCTGCGAGGCAGGTTTATTGGCAGCAGCTACGGCGGTGGGGACTTGCATAACAGCAGCAGGAGCAGCAACCGCATGCCTATTTGGCCCTCTAAATTTCATGGGCTTCCAGATGCTGCTGTGCGGCACTTGTAAAGTGATGGGAGTTGTGCATGACGCTGCGAGTGGCAGCAGCGGGCGGCGGCAGGAGGGTCTCAGCGGACGGCCACCAGCTGCTGCTTTCCGGAAGGCTGCATCTGCCAAGTTGGCAGCGGGCGAAAGCGCGTTCCACAGATTGGCATCGCCCTCTTTCCTTTTTCCTCAACGGAAGGATTTCCGGTACAGCGTGCATCGGTTTGGGCCGCAGCGGTTCACCGCCCAGGGGACGGTCCAGGTGTACAGCTGCAGCGCGTGTGTTCAACTAATGGAACTTTACCACTAACCATATGGCAAATGACATGCGCGCGTTGTGGAAATGTTATTGTTTTGTTTTGTTTGTTATGCGTTGTGGGGTTGGCGGCTGCGTGTGAGGCGGCGAAAGGTTTCAGCTCGCGGAGGAACCTGCATCCGCAGCACGGGGGCCCGGGGCAGGGCGGCACCGGTAAGGTTGCACCATTTAACACCATGCCTGTACGGCAGCCAGGGGTGGAGATTAGATTGCCATTGGACGAGGGTTCCCAGCCGCATTCTTGCGGGTAAAGAAGTCTCTCGATTTAATAAACTCAAGTAGCCACTTCCTTTACAAGCAAGGTGTAGTCCACAAAACTAAGCACCAATAGTGCCGGACGGATGTACGGACGAATGAACGGGCGGATGTACGGGCGGTGGGATGGACATTTCAACGGGCAGGCATGGTAGAAGGTTTTCATAACGGGTAAGCGGGCCTGCGGAGCGTCCGTGCAGCCAGCTGCCTGATGAAGGTTAGGGGTTGGGCTGCCAAACCTCGAGCGTGTACGGGGCAAGGTCTATAGATATCGGGAACGATGCATATGTGTCTGGCCCGGTTTAGATCAATGACTATGTGTTTTCACTACCTGCATATTTACCAACCCACTCGCAGACGCAATATTACATCCTCCTATTAATGCACCTTTCCATCATTCGTTATGTGCGACGACTTTTTGAGCATGTTGCTTCCCCCTTAACTACACGCACCCACCATATCAGTCATCCATGCCTACCTCCCATCGATTGTTCGTGCCGCCGCCGCTCCAAGGGTTGTGCGGGTCCGTAACGTCCTTGAAGGTGGAGGAGTTGGTTGCAGCGGAGAGCTCCAGCGCTAGAAGGACTCTCCTTTGCCTGCGTCGGGTTGACCCATTGAGGCACACGGCCGCGGCCCTCAAGACTGTTGCAGAACTGATTTGCTTGGCTTTCGACTGCGTCGGGTAGAGAATCTGCGCGTTGGCCTTGCCGCGTTGTTGGGCCGAGCATTGCTTAGCGGAAGTTGATAACGTTGCGGTTGGCTGCGGCACGAGCATCGCATGGAGGATAGGAAGGACATGGCAAAAGCCCGGATGGTTGCATTGTCGCGTTAAAAGTTAAATCCCTTAAGGAATGCTGGTCTGGATACTGGCAAGGCGATTTAGATTGTAGGCATTTTGCGCCTCATAAAAATTACACGTGCCTTTCCCTGGCTCGGCTTTTCAGTATAGTCGAGTGCTTTTCCATGTGCAAGGACACTGTTGTACATCTTGATGGGCGTAGCTGCCGGTTGGCACGTCGATGCGCACGAGAGTGTGGACAGGTTACCTCGTAAGCCGCCAGCGGCATCGCATGAAGCATATGCCCACAGACGGATCGAGCTCGATAACATTCACCATGTTTGCTTTTTCTAATAGCATATGCGCAGCACGTGCACATCGGACTACTGCTTATGATGAACGATGATGAACGATGAACTGATATGGAGCTGACTAAAAAGTAAAGGACCTGCGCCGCGGGAAGTCTCGAAAGCCTGTATGTACCCTTGTGCGCGTAAATCGCTTTGCGAATAATGCACATGTTTTCACTTTTCTGTCCACGGTGATGCATGCCTCGTTTGTGTGTTCGCTGGGGGTTTTGGCTGGTGCCGCAGGGGCGCTCGAGCCGCCGTGGCGATGCCATTATGACTCCGAACTTTTTGACGGCTTTTTACTAGTGTCATTTTCGACGTTACCACATGAACGGGCAACAAGATGAATTCGGTTGGTCTCTTGGACAGGCATTGTCTGCTCCATGAGGAGGAAACGGAAGTAGATATCCATGCGGCATTCGTTCCACAGCTCTGAAGCAAGCCCCGAACACCATAAACTCTGTGGTGAAACACATTTCAGCGTGTTGGATTCTAGAAGCAAAGTACTGCTTACCGTATTTCCGAAGGGGTACCACCCCATTTCGTTTTTAGTTGCGTGCGTGTGTATTACTGAGGCTGGTTAAGATGCCTTCGCTTGTCCCGAAATAACCATGTGTTTGTGTTAAGAAGCCTGGTAACCGAGGGAGGATCGTCAGGCGCAAGTTATTGCCAACTTCGTGCTCGCCTTCGGGGTGTTGCTGGTAGTGGAATGGAGCTTTTTATGCAATGCACTGGGGCTCTGCCGCCGTGGCTGCTCTGCGACATTACTACTGTTGCATGGCAGGTGCGGATGGGGGCCACGGCGCGTTGCAGGTATCGCTCGTTGCGTCAGGATTCGGTGCAGAGAGGGGGTCCAGGAGACGAGATGTCGGCGATTCTGATAACTTGCGGGGAAAAGGTTGTGGGCTCACGTGGGCGCCAGTACGGGACCTGTTTGGCAGTTTCTGGCGTACCTATCCGCGGGTGCCGTTCGGCCATCTAGCTACTCGCAAAGGCGGAGGGGGCAAGGACTGGCTTTAGCCGTACGTAATGCAACATCGGGTGGCGTACCACAATGTTTAAACATCATGTTTTGCATGTCATATCAGGTAGGGATGCACATGGGCTATGTCCGTGTTGGAGACGGCATTGTCAGTTGCGAGAATTCTTTTGCAGACGTAGCCCTTGCAAAGTTTACAGTGTGCAGAGACCTGCTGGCAGAGACGTATTGACTGGACGGACATGACGTCAGAATTTGCCTTTTTGCGTGGAATATTTTTGTGTAACAAATTTGGCGACGAAGTCAGAGGCCACCAGCGGATGAAGAGGCGAGGCGCTGGTGAAAACCAAGGTAAAATTGCTTGCATCGGTTTGACGCAGCTTCCAGAGGTGTTCGGCAGAAAAACCGATTTCGCTGCTGACTTGTGTGCATGCTGGCATGCCGTGAAAAGGAGATCTACGCTGGGATACCGCATGAAGTCCTCACCGTCGTTGCAAGCTTGCCAGAGTTCTTAGGACTTCCTGTCACTTCCTAGTACGCCGCAACACCGGCGGCAGCTAAGCGGAAAGACTGTTGGCAATCAACAAGCCGTTCCAGAATTAGGGCATGTCGCAGTACAACGACAGACATAATATCGACGTCCCTTCTAGCAATTGGCGTCCTTCTCAGCCAACTCAAAAACGTCGCCTACGCATCTGTCGAACAACCCCTTAAACGCCTTGCCCTCCCTCCCCTGTGCCGCGAGCGCTCACGCGCTCACGTGCGCCCGCGGCGCCGATGCTACCGACGCTAACACCACCGGCACCGTGCCTTTGCAGCTCTCGTAGTTGCCTGATGCGGTGCCCCGCGCAGGCCACCGCTCCAGGAACTGCGGGAACCTCAGCGTCCCCTTCCTCGCTGGTGTTACTGCTGCCGGCGCCAGTGCCCTGCTGTGCAGAGGCCCCCCGCGCGTCGTCACCACCGTCAGCCAAACCAAGCACCCCTGCGGCACGACTCTGAGGCCCTCTGTCCTCACCACAGCCTTCAGGCCCTATTGCGGCCTTCGTTGCACCCGTCCCTAGGCCTGTCGCGACCGACACTGGTGCGATCCCGGGTGCACGTCCCTGCCCAGTCGCACCTCCCGCCGGCAGGCCGGGCGCCCGAGTCAGGGGTTCCAAGCGGCGGCCCGCGCTGCCTGGACGCAACGCCAGCGACGGGCTGCCCAACCTTGCGGCCGATGCAGCAGTGCGAGTCCCGCCGCTGCCCGGACTGCTGCCAGCAGCTCCAGCTCCTGTACCGCCGCTTCCCGGGCGACCCGCTGCCGCGGCGGCGACGGCCGCTTGGTAGCCGGTCTGTAGGGCGTCCATTTTGGCGAGCACGCCTTGCAGCTGAGTGGACCAGTCCATCAGGGACTCCACGTGCGCAGATTCGCTGGTACCGCCGCCACCCGTCGCCTGCTCGTCGCCGTAATCGTCACTTCCGCCGCTTCCGGCCAGCGTGCCGTTACCTAAACCGCCCCGCGCCCCGCCGCTGCGTGGCCTGCCCGATTCCCAAATGGAAACCTGCGCCGCTGCCCCCGAGGTGCCGGTCCAGGACCTGCCTCCGCCGTCTCTGCCTCCGCCGTCTCTGCCGCGCCGGCCGTCGCTATCAGTGCCGCTGTCGCGCGAGTCTCCGCCTCCGCCACCACCTCCGCTGGACCCCAGCTCCCGAAGCTCGGCCTCCAGCTCCGCCAACATCTGCTGCCCGCGGAGGAGCACAGCTTGTGCACCTTCCTCCGCTTTCCTACGGTCGGTCGCAGAGACGGTGGTGGAGGGCTTCGCGCCGTTGCGTTGTCGGCCACTCATAATTGCCAACCCAACTCGCCCGGAAAAACTTGTCCCTAATCGTTAATACTGCGTGCACACCGAACCTGCTTTTCTGCCCCTTCCATCCATCCATGACTATTCCCGTAAGTCGCCGCCATTCCTGTCACCATCAGAACCAACGGGTGCCGCGGTAGCCAACCCTATCGTACTCCTATCTCCTCACCTGCGGGCGGCTGTGGTAGGTCGCTCCACGGGTGCGGGCCCGAGCAGATGCTGGGGCAGAGCCGGTATCGCCAGAGGAGCTGCGGGGCAGTGAACAAGGAAACGCGCAATGCGAGTGGATGAGATTGCCAAGTTTTGGCTTTGCCGTTCCAGGGATAGGCGAGGGGAATGGGACTGGCTGTAAACGATCAGAGCACACCAAGGATCACCGGCAGAGGTCCGGTCCGAACACGGAACATGACCCAAAGATTTGAGCTGAGAAACCGGGGGCGAGCACCAATCCCTACCCCTAAACTACCCAAGGCTGCCCCTGCCAGTGACAACCTCTCCTCGCCCCGCTGGGCGCAAATACATTTAGCCGCGTGCGTCAGCACTGGCATTCACGGTGTAGTGGCTGCGGCAAGAAGCTACCCTACCCTGGAACATTTCACACCCTCAACAAACCGAGGACTTCGATACCACACGCACACCTTGCAGCACCGACTCCAGAGGAGGTTGGCCAAATGCGGACAAGGGCCGTGAGCTACCGCTACCGCTGCTGGCTCTACAAGGGCTGCTTGACTGCGGCTCTGCGTCAGTAATAGGCCGATGGACTTTGCCATCCAATTGGGATTGCGCTTGGCCGGAAGCTGCCAGACGCAGCCTGGCCGCTGCCGAGCCCGATAAGATGCGATCTCGCCGTTCCTGCCGCTCTCTCAGCAGCGCCGCCAGGTCCTCGTCCTCCTCCTCCCCCAGCTGCAGTTGCGACGCCGGCACCACGTCCACTGCCTGCCGCCGCTGCTGCTGGTGTTCCTGCCCTACCTCCGCAGGGAGCTTTCCCGGCGGCATTAGCGCCGCTAGCGCTAGGTCCCCCGGGGTCCCTATTGCGGAGGAGGCTGTGCCGCTGGCACTGACGGCCGCAGCGGTCTGCTGTCCGGTTGGCAAGGGGGCAGGCGAGCCAGGAGGCGAACGCCCGCAGATGCAAGGGTGGAGATCCGTGCATCCGTGGTCAGCATGGGGTGAGAAGCGACGTCGGTAAAGGGCAGTGGAAGGCAGGGTGCGCTCATAGCGCTATGGGTGAGCTAGCGCTGTACGCGTGTGCCCAACATGCTTATGCGCAAACCATAGCAGTTGGGATGGCGTGCGGCGTTTGATACAGCTGCGTTTCCTAGACCCTGTCGGGGACTGCCCGGAACCCCGGACGGTACCGCACCCAGCCCCTGAAAACCCCCATGCCTACCTGGGTGTTGGAATGAGGCTCCTCCGGTTCCCGTTGCAATGGCATGGTGGCAGCTTCCGCCGCCTGGGCCAGGGCCTGCTCATTTCGCTGCCGGAGCTCCAACTTCAGAGGACGTTTAGAGGTATCGCCGCGACAGCACGGTAATGATAAAAGGTTATCAGCGTCTTGGGTAGCGATTCTGGAGTAAGAGACGGAGCTTGGGACCTACCATTTCACGTTCGTGCTTCTGCTTCCACGCGCGGATGTTGCTGAGAACTGAGTCCATCTCGCCTATCGTGGCATTAAAGCCATTTGCCCCCAGCAATCCTGCCCCCCGGTCGACCCGCACACCGAGGGGCGTAATTGAGCCCGGCCTGTGCAAATTCAGGGAATGGTTTTGTAATGGATTTGGCTAACAAAGTGGCTATGATTGCAGGAACAGAAGAACGGGTTTTCCATCTTCCACCTAGCAGTCCAATCAGTCTTTTTCTCAATTTGCGAAAGACTTGCCGAGCTCGTGGTGCCGTAGAAGTTTCGATGTCTTCATCGCCACTGTCCACGCCACCCTCCTCAGTCAGGAAGCGTGTAATTTCTTCATTTAGTTTACTAAACTCCTCCTATGCGGTGTGGAAATGGGCCACGCCTCAGTAGCCGCTTTTGCAAGGTAGGTACCAATCAACTCCTTCGCACCTCCACGTTAGGCATAAGTGAGGATGGCACAATCTAAAAGCTACGACGCCGAATTTAGTTACAAAACACGTTCATAGTTTCTATGCATGAAATGCTCACGTCAAGAACTTCGTCCCAGCTTGCTTTAATCAATGTACCAAGCTTGTGGAAAAGAATATAAAGTTACTCTATACATATGTTGAACTCCTTAACATGGCTTGGAAAACATGTCTCGCGCGCCACACCTTTGCACCGTCCGTACGCGATGATAAATTTATGTTTCTCCAAACACCTCCTTCGCACGTAGTACGCTTAAAGTATAGAATAAATCTACACGCTCCCCTCAGATCACAAACTCAAACGTAACTGTAATGTACATGCAGCAGGGTGGGTATCCCAGCTGCCCACACCACGGGCTTCCCCACGAAACGCTGCTTTCGCCTTGGTGCAGAAAGAACTTTATACCCTCTACAATTAGAAACTCAAAAGCTACGGAGCGCCATTAGGAAGCCAGCTAAGAAGCCGCCAACGCTGGGTACACCTTGCGACAGCGCTCCAAGGCCTTTGCTAACGAGTGGCTTGAAATCATCCGCGTCCACCTTCCTGCGGGGTTGGAAGCATACAATACATGCAAGGCTATTCACCTTCACATGGAAAACCATCGCTGTCCATAGGGAGAAGGTAAACAAAAGGAGGGCGAACCTACAGCAGCTTCCCATAGGTGCACGAGGTATCCGCCATCCGTGCCAAGTGCCCTGAAGGTATGCACACTGAGGACCCCGTCCACCACTCCTCCATTGACCTCTGCAACTGCGCCATGATAAGCACCGTTCCCGACTTGGTTACTTGCCAACCGCCTGGCCACCCCTCCCCCTTGAAAACCGACTTCCCTAACCATCCCGCAGCCCCATGAAGGCTTCAAACGCACCCGTCCTTATTCACATCCAACGCGTTCGTCACAGCACTGTGTACGTTAGTCCAGTTGACGGTGATGAAACCCGTGTAGGCTAGGCCTTGAATGAACAGGAATGCCACGCCCACACATAGCGCCACAACCTGGCCAACTTTCTGCAAGCATCATGGTGAATAAACGTTGTGGGTGACTCTCAGGCAGTCAGCGACAAAGCCGGAACAGGCCGCGTGCCGGAGGCGCATCATCAGGCAGTGAGCGCTCGGATGCGAGCTCGGAGCAACGAGCAGCGCGAGCAAAGGAGGCTGCGGTGCGGGTGCATCGTGCGGCTTATAGCAGCACCGTCGCAGTTCTATCAGACAAAACGGACCACAGCTGGCCGGCAGCTCTGACATGTGCTCGCCTAGAGTTTTAACCACAAGCATAGACGACGATACATTGGCGACAAGCCCATTATGCTGTTGCCCGTTTTGGGTCAGTTCGAGTTGGTTCGACCCGACACCGGCCCGAAATCTTGAGTATGTTGCCAATATGGCCAAAACACACCACCGCGCCACACGGATAGACATGACGACATGCGCACCTTGAGCGCATAGCCCGCGGCAGCGCCCACACAGCCACTGAAGCCCAAGTTGGTCAGGATAGGGCCCGCCAGCTTCACCAGTATCTCAGTGACCTGCATCGAGCGGGAACCCATGAGCAAATGAGGCAGCGGCGCAAGAGTCTGGAACACGCATCTTTGCATAGGTGAAATCCCCGGTAACAATAACAAGGTGACAAGGAATTCGTGCGAACAACGCCCAAGGGACTCGCAGGTGGTCATAGGACTTCTACGACCACCCTTTGCCTTGAACGGCTCGAGGCAGAATGCCGCGTCGCTCGTCATACTTTTTCCACTGTGAGTTCCTCGGGCGGTGCACTGGCTGGCGGGGCCGCCGGCTCGGTTGGCTTCTTCCTCGCCGCCCAGGCAGCGCCCTCACCGCAAAGCAGCACACACCCTGCGAGGGCTAGAGCCACCGCGCGACCCCAGCTCGCGCCGCCACTCCTGTCGTCGCGCCAGGGCTCAGGTCCTGGGCGGCCTGCAAGCATTAGGCAACACGTGCTCGTACACAACGAACGGCTGACTCAGCCGGTCAGCCTCTTAAAGCGAAGCTCCTATGGCTTCTCAAAGCAGGAGAATATTCGTGCTTGTTACTTACCGCCACCACTGCCATTTCGGCCGCCCCCAATAGCACCTCCCGAGTCGCTGCCCCCTAGCGCAGTAGACAGCGAAGCTGCAGGCCTACAGAAGAGCAAAAGCCCGGCCAGGTTAAAGACAAGATGAGAGTCACGAGATCGGTAAGGCACAGGTTGATCAGCTGGAAAGCTGCTTCATCCGTGGCTCCTGGCCTTCGACATTTTTCAACGTACAGTCGACCTTGGAGTGCTACGAGAGTGGAGGCGCACCTGACTGCCTGGACACCATAACGTTTTGCACTACCTGTTACCCAAAACCCCTACAAAAAAGAAAACAGGCAGTCACAAGGCATCGGAACGGACGCACGATTAATTTCACGCGCGTCCTGATACGACGTGCCGTAGGAAATTTTTGGTTTTGGTTTACAGCACTAGACGCAGACCTGGAAGCGGTGAAGAATTGAGCCACTCATGGGAGCTAAACGAGCCTTGACCCCAGTGGCAAACCGCAGCAGCGACATATTCGGCACCAAAGTCGAGATATTAAAGATGTGCGGTGTAGAAAGGATTGGTTGGTTAAGGTTCAAGACAGCCGGTGTCACCTTTAAGTAGAGATGTTGCAACCATGCAACGACATTCAGTACGGCTGACAGAACACATTAACCAATGCATTTTCCACAGCATGACATAGAAAGAATGTATACCTCTTGTTGGGGTTATGCACACCCGTAACCGGGTCGTCTGCTACCTATACGTTTAAATTGATCTTGCACAACTTTGCTGGGGAGCGGAAGACCTTGACGCACTGACATAGGTGTTGCGTAGAAAAGTTGTTCTTTGGTGAAATGTATCCACCCGGTCAGCCTGGATCAGGGGAACAGCATTATCAACATCCCCCTGCTCCGCTTCCGGGTTCGCATCTGCAAGCAGCTCCAGGAGCAGCTAACATGATGCCTCCAGCACCCCAAAGTGGACAGCTTCCGGTTCCAGGAGCGGCGAACATGATGCCGCCAGCACCCAGGAGTGGACAGCTTCCGGCGCCGCACGTCTACGGGTTACCTCCTGGTCCACCCCCACCTGGTCCTCAGCCACCGGGCCCCATCCCCTTTGTCGCCTCTGGTCCAACCCACAGCACCACCGTTATCCCCCCGCAACAGCCATATGCCCAGCCCTATAACCCAGGAGCCTATCAGCAAGCGCAACAGCAGCCCCACCCCGCGCCATTCATACCCCCACCGGTAGGTTTGCTAAATGCATCACGTCTTATCTGTCACTGGTAGCTGATATTGCAAAGCCATTGTGATGCCCAATGTCGGAGCACTACAATCACGTGCGTATCCTAATTGGGAACGACAGCGGGGCACGATGGCGGCTCATGATGACCACCAACCGTTGCTAGACCCCGCCCATGCTGCGTTGAGTCTCGGCGCGTGCATTAACACGAGGCGCGTCTTGCCTGTCCTGATCACCCCCTTGGGCCTGTCCCAATGCAGCAAAGCTTCAACCCGGATCCGATGTGGGGCCCGGCGCCTGCATCTGGTTACTACCCGGGCTTAGGCATGCCGCTCAACCCGCTGGGGCTCATGGCTGCAGGTGGGGAAAGGGGTGAACTGCATTTGGGCATAGGGTGTCGGCATGTGATCCATTGAGCGCCCTGCGCAGTGTACGGCGAGGGCTAGAGGATCTGACCGGAGACCGCAGTCTGCTCCGTTTAGGTCCGGGTGGGCAGCAGTTCGGGGCGCTGCAGTTTTCAATGACCCCTCGGACGGCGGGTTGTAAGCACGACAGACCGGCACCCACTTCTCATAGGTTGAGGTTTGGGCTAGTTGACTGGGCTTGCGGCACGAAGCCTTCGTCATCCCCTTTCCTATGTGTACGTGACGACCGTCTCCCGATGTGCATTTTGCCGGACAAGACACATGTCCATAGGGGAGGGAACATCTTGATCTTGATTTAGTCGCCTTGGGGCCCTTTCGTTCTTTTATTACATTCGATAACACCCCTCAGCGATGTCCGTCCCTCAGGGAACATCTTCGGCGGAGGTCAGAGCTGGGGCCAGCAGTATGTGGAGCGCATGCAGCAGCGGGTGGGGTACTTCACAGGGGGAGCGCTCCACTTCCATTTTGCAATCAGCAAGCAGTACGGTGAGAGACAGGGCCACCGTCGTTTGGCTGAGGGACGTGACATCGCGCGAGTGTCCGCTTGGTGGTCTCCTCTTAAATAACAGCTTTTCAAACTGCGTTAAGAAGGGGCCCAATCCTGGGTATAGCAAAGTGACAACGTAATTGGCTTTTGCCTGAGGCGGCAGCGATGCCAACTGTGACCCAAATGGTTGGTCGTGTCTCACGCTTGCCCCCGTTTATCGCTGACGTGCTCATATCCTAGATTGGATACGAACGAACGGACGTTAGCGTGCGAAAGATCCGATTACACAATTCCGAGTCTCCATCAGCCCATCTCGTCCCCTCGCGTCTGTCTCCCAAGCTGCATTCCGTCTGCTACCTGCCTAGCTATGAGCTTGGCCCCATGCAACCCGCGCCTGCATTGCACCACTTGCTTCCGTAGTGCTAGGACTCATTACGTTGCAGCATCTGTGCTTGCGTGTGCTGCTCTTTTGCCGTGATCCTGGCTTGGGCCCGATCACTTGGATGCGCTTGCTTCTTGATTGACCTGCGCTGGGTCCTGTGGTTATGTGTCCCTCTGCGCCCGCCAGTACTTTCAAAGCTGCTGATGCTCATCGCGCCCTACCTACGCCGCTGGACCTACACACGCCAGCCAGAGCAGGTGGATAGCGTTTGACGTACAGAGGGTGCGGACCGGGTAGGGTGTGTATAGAGTCGTCTTTCGTATGTTCGCCTGCTTAGAACTGGCCGCTTCGGCGCGTACATCGTGCATCGTACTCGCAAATGAAGGAAAACTTCTGTGCACATGATGTCACCTGGACACGAGTACCGCGACTTCGCCTACGTACGTGGCATGAGCTCAACATATAATTAGTCAAGTCGTGGTTCCTCCTGTTCCTAGGGGTTTTTGGAGCTCCGGGTGTATGGGCGCAGCCCTTTTCCTTTTATGGACGCAACTTCTCCAATGTGTGTTCATCCACCACGTCGATGTTCCCTCCGGTCCGTGGGTTCCTAGCCCTTCCCGCCCCCGCCCCTGGCCCAATTGCACTGCACTGCGCTGCACGGAACCCCAACAGATGCAAGGCGGATCAGCCTTCAAGCCCCCTCGCGAGGACACCAACTGCCCGGACCTGTACATCCCGTTGATGGGGCTGTGGACTTACACTCTGATGTGCTGCGGAGTGCAGGCGACGCGAGGGAAGTTCAAGCCTGACAACGTGTACCCACTGGTGAGCCCGGGGCAGCTGCAGGGCGAATGACATCATAGCGCCGCTGTGGTGCCTCGCCTTGATCCCGGAAGAAACGGACACCCTCCAGGTTATCAACAGATTTTCGCTGCAGTCTTTGTTCACCTCTTGAGCTTACCAGCCTTACCCCGCAGATGGGCTGACACCTCAGCCAGCTGTGCCTGGCCGCGACCTTCTTGCTTCACCCCGTGCCGTGCCCCTTGCCCTCCCAGGCTTGGAGCGCTAGTGTAGCGTGGCTGATGCACCTGCTGCTGGCCAAGGCAGTGCTGAGGGCCATGGCCCTGCCCGCCTCCGTGCCCTGGGTGGAGCTGGCGGCGTATACGGGCTACTCGTTCGTGCCGGTGTGTCTGTCCATTGCGGTGGGCCAGCTGGGCGGCCGGTGGGCCTACTGGGGGGCGTGGGCGTACGGCAGCTTATGCATGGCCATCTTCCTGGTGCGGACCATGAAGCGGGTCATCTTTCAGGAGACCCGAGGATACGGTGAGGGGGCGGCGACGTGGGTCTTGGTTGGGGCTGTGTGGGATGAGGTGTTCAGTACAAGGGAAAGTGGGGATGATGGTGCAGCAGGGAGAGGGAAAGTAGCAGGTAGATGTGGAGCAGAGCAGGTGGAGGACGGCATGGACGAAGGAGAGGAGGGCTTGGTGTGGACCAGACGTCCAAAGAGCGCTGGCAAATGGTGTTCAGTACCCGTGTATCACAGGGAACCCTCCGGTCCATGAAGTCACCATGTTAGGTGCTCTTCGCATGCGCACAAGTGGGCCCCTGCACCAAACAGTGCCCCCATCAGTATCTTATTAAGTATTCCTGCTGGTGTGTGCGTATGTGTGTATGTATGTGTGTATGTATGCCGCATCCATTCCCTCAACTCGCAGGACGAGACCTGACACTCGTAAACTATCTGTTGCTCGGGCTGGCGCTGTTCCAGTTCCCGTACGCTTTCTATCTGGGTGTACGGCCCTGAGGAGCGCTGGGAGGCACACCTCTCATGAGGAAGGCGCTGTGTGCCCCTATCGAGTCACGTGACAGGCTGACACCCAATGTGGTTCCCGACGAGTGTGTTTGTGATACCTTTGGCGGGAATGGGAGTGGAATTGATTGCACGTGGTGATGGACCTAACCGCGGCGAGACAGAGAGGTAATGTTGGCTCCCGTCGCGCCCCTTGAGAGCAAGCAGTGTGAGGTATCCTAGCGTGTGAAACGAGGAGCGGGAGCCCTACAGCACAGCCTCACTTGCAGTGTGCTGTATGCTGTGAGTGGGGTCAAAGGGACCTGCAGGGTGAGGCAGGGGGGCGCTGATGTATCTATCGCGTTAGGAGGTTTCAGAGGGCAGGCGGACGTTTGGACTTGGCGGGCACGTGGTTCTGGCTATTCTGTGGACTGGTTTGGGACAACTAGTTCGGCGTCGTATGCATATGCATTGCAAACGAGACGTGATGGTTGCGTGATTATTAGTTTGGCAACTTTTGGCATGAGCTTCTCGTGCCCGCTTTCATTGTTGTGGGCAGCAGTTGCTGTCGCGGTTGAGGATTGCCACACTAACGTTAGCATCTCCACCTAACTTGGGTTTATATGGCTTTAGCTGACATGTCTTAGCAGAAATGCCCAACTTACGAGCTGACGAGGGAACTACGGGTTCTGTGACTGACTGTGGCAGTGACTAGAACTTGCAGTTGTATCGATTTATTCAACTGTATCTGGTCGGAGAGACTTCAGCGGCTAGGGATAGGTAATGTAGTACAGCAAGTGCAAAATGCACAACATCAATCCCGTTCCCACGGTGCCCAGAGTTAGGTGGCGCAGCACCAGAGCTCACGCAAGCAGGGATACGGAGGGTACAATTGGCTTTCAATTTTCGGATAATAAATTGCTCGCGCAGTGCGAACCATGTTGCGATGACTTGGATAACGGAGATACGCTTAGCGTACACGGTTGAGGGTTTCGGTTGCAAACCCACATTACACTTTTCCTGATCATCAATGAATAGTCTTGATAGTATTTGGTAAAAAATACTTACTCAATTTAGCGCCAAAACGTTGTAGCCACGACACTCAGCGTTGCATAGCCAAATCCGCAAGCCCCAAATGCAGTGCCGGTGCCGCCAATGCGCTGGAAAGTATCCACCCCGGCGCACAACCAGCTCAGTTCCAGTTATGTATACTTTAGCTAGATTATTGCTACTGAGCCCACAAACCTGCATGTGGGAAATGGACACTCCCCGCCGTACATGCGCCCGCGTCATGGCATCAATTCATATGCCAAAAATAACTCCCAACTCGCAAACGTTACTACCGACGCAAGGTATATCAGCCCTGGTCATGGTTAGGGGAATGGCTAGGATGGCTTTGAAAACCAAGTCATCAACCGAGCGCATTTCATGGTTCCTAAGATCCTGCCGCCACGGGGATATTAGCTTACGTCAATCGCAAGCCGTCAACCTAAATATCCATCTACACTCCAAGGTAAAAATGTTGGCCTGCCATGAATAAAAAAAGACTGCAACTCGGAGGAGTATTTAGTGCTTGCCGTACTCGGTAGTGTGGAGTCGCTCCTCCTGGTTGGTCAGGATGGTGCAGTCCGAACGCGGGTACGACGAGCACAGCAGCACAAAGCCCGCCTTGACCTGGTCATCATCCAGAATGTGCTGGGAAATTTGCTCCACATGACCGGATTGCACGCGACCAGCGCAGGTTCCGCAGGTGCCTGTTGTAAAGGCAACCGGGCCACCGAATGTAGCGAGTCAACGAATGGAGCCCTGAGGCCGCTGATGACAAGCTCTCAAAAAGCTATAAACCAATAGTAATATCCAATTCTTGCCACAAGCAAAGTAAAAGTAACAATCGAACTCACCGCTGCGGCACAGGTATGGCAGGTCCAGGTCAGTCCGATCAATGGCATCGAAAATGGCCTCATCCGGCGCAACCTCAAGCGTGCGGGTCTTTCCTGATGGCATCCTAAGCGTCACCTGGTATGCCTTGACCTGCAAGAAGTGTACCAGGTTGGGGCAGGTATGTAAATCCAATGTGACCAGCAGTTGATATCTAGCAGGCATACACTATGCGCTGTTAAACAGAAGGATTGCGTTGAGCCAGAATGGACGCGAATAGTTTCAGCAGGAAATTCGCAAGGGGCATCTAAGGTATTCGGCGACAGCGACAATGATGACGGTGACCCCATCAGCACACAACCCGCCCAGACCAGCCGGAAACGCACCTTCACAGTTGCCCGGGACATCGTGCGGGCAGTCTTGCAGGGGCGGCTCAGAGCCAGGGTGCGGGAAGGGAAGATAGCCGTCATGATTGCGGAAAGTTCGGTTGAAACACCTTCGGGACTGAGTGCAGACTATACTGTAATGGCTACCAGACCGCAGGGAAGACTGTATTGGCAACGATCAATTGATGCCTTTTATCTCCTAATCTCCCTTGCATCTCGATTGCGTAACGGATTCGCCCGGTACAGGACGTTGTACCTATTACCAAATGCGACGCGTGAACCATGAGGTACACAAAGGTACTATACCCGTTCTCCTTGTATAATTTTATTGCGCTAGGTGGGCAAACGTAACATTTGTTAACCAGGAGCGACCGGATGTACTGTAACTGTCCCAGACGCTTTCCTTGCACCTCATATACGCAGTGCGGCGGGTAATAAGTTCGAGGATTAGTTTTCAGGGTTACACCCTTACTCTTATCAATCATCCCGTGCACAAATAGCTTGTGTAAAGTATCCGCCAAAACCGTTAGGGCACCTTTGCAAGCGTGCTTTGCATGAGAAGCCCGTTTTGTATCGCTGGCTTAGCGTCTTAACTGGTAGGGACCATCCTGAACTTCAACCTGGATACTTCCTAATATGCTTCGTCCAAGTCAGCATGCGGACACACGCGATACTGTGCTTCGGCATCAAGGCATGGGCCATACCATACGTGTAAATATTGATATGCATTGTAAGTGTGTAAGGAACGGGAGCATTGAAAGGCGATTGAGTAAAAGCATCTCGCATTCTCATCAAGGTACATGGTAAACGAGGCCAGCTTAACCCACTACGCCATTCCCAAAAGTCTACGTTCACTCGTGCACGATATCCGCATACTGCCCAAACACGGTGCAACCATGCCATGCCTTGCGCGGCTCGCAAATGGGCACGACAATCGCGGAAAGCATCCGAAGACAAAAGCTGTGTCCTTAGGAAACCCTAATGTCCGAAGGAGGTGGCGCCAGTGCATCAATGCGCAATTCATTTGGAACCCATTATCACGAACTCCCAAGTCCTCCAGGAAGTCCGTAGGTAGTGTAGTACTCCACGAACCCACTCTGCAGGGGTGCAGGGTGGCCCAATTCCGCCGAGGGGCTGAAACCCCTCGCTCCTCCCTTCTCTCCTATCCACCCCCTACGGCTTATGTCCGCGTGTGAATGTGTGCGTGGAGAGGTTGCTGAAGAAGGATAACTTTTACTAAGGCAAGCATTATTTAATGGACAGTCATTGTATGGCTGCTGGTCTGCTCCCGGTGATCCATCCATCTCTCAGTTCTGGGGCAGTGCTCAGCAACCCGCTGTAGGGCTTTCAGCCCTCGGGGTCGTCGGTGTTCTTCTTACAGCGCGTAGATAAAATTCAATTCACAGAGTTGCCGCCGAGCCCCTTCTCCTAGGCGGCGGCAGGGCAACGGCCTCCGTATCCCGGTGGTGACTACAAACACAGAAAATAGTGTCACTCTCTCGTCGCGCTGCATGGCGCCCATCTGTTCGTGGTTGTAGGGGCGCTGGTTGTGCCTGCGTCAATCCCCATCGCTCAGCTCGGCCTGCAGGGTCCATCGAGCATTTGACTGCACCAGCGCGCCCTAGGAAAGGTCAGGTGAAGCAGCAAAAAGGAGTGAAGGAGGGGCGGCCCCTCCTTCACATTAGTCGGGAAATGTGGAGTTGAGGTCGCAGTTGATGGACCAGATTCGCACGCTGGATTGGTGGCGATTGCCGAACCCTCCGTCTCTTCGGGTGTTCGGGTGAATGGATGAGGAGGGGTCCCTGAAGGCTGGATCCGCTGCCTTGGACTTACAGTTCGTAAGGCAAAGTACAGTGTGGTAGTGGTGGATGGTGCTATAAGGTGATAAATGATCGTAGAACTGACAATGTGATAAAGCGGCCCAGAAGCCTCCCACTCTGTAACATTACAAATTACAATTACAAGATAATGAGACTCTTACAAGGCTCTAGTGAGAGCACAGTATTCAGCGATGTCCGGGGACACTATCTCACTGATGAGTCTGTATGGCCGGAGCCTGTGTGCACGTACAATGGTCCTGGGACACACACCAATGCTCGGAGCGCTTGGTGGCTGAGTATGGCAAAGATTATTAGTTCTTCAACAGCTAGGGCCCGGCACACGGATGCGCCAACAGAGCCACCACTAGCTAGTTCCACACTTAATATAACCACACAAATGTGCCCGTTGGGCGCGCGGAGTACCATGGTGTTGTCTGGCCAGACAACACCCAGGAGGAGAACGGAAACTCCACACTGAAAGGTGCTTCAGCTACGGATCCTGACTCACTGCCAGCCGAATCAACCACGCCTAGAGCTCACAAGCTGGGTGATGGCAGCAGCTTTGCGGCAAAGAAAAAGAAAGTTAAAACGCGACAAGTACGGCCCTGAGGCCACGGTTAGCTGCTGCAGGTTGTACCACAATGCTGAGAGCCTGTGGTTGGGTACGTTGCCTGCATAAGGACGCTCAATGGACAGTTAAGCGTATTCGGAATGCTGGAGAGCAGTGTTGGCTTAGTGCGCGGACGCGAAAAGCCTAGCTCAACAGATGGGTGACACCACCTGGAGAATATACAGCGACGGATCGCTTTCAACAATAGCTACACAACAAACTCGGGGTACTGGCGCCCGATCCCTTACTTCTCACGGCCGCCTACTTCAGGACGACTCGTCGACCTTCTCGGTCGTTTGGCTGTGGGGATTAGTTATAAAATTAGAGCATTCCTTAAAAGCTCCTGCTTGGTTCAGCTGGCGAAGTCCGGCTTAGTTCACTTGGAGAGCGCGATCGCGATCGTAGTAGGCGAGGACGGGCTGGGGACGGATCCCTGTCAAGCCTGGAGGTAAAGCACTAAGGATGGACCTTACAAAATGCTGTATATATCCTCTGACAATCCTGCTCTGCTGGCAAAAGCGCGTCTCGAGGTAGGGGAGCAGGCTTGTTACATAAACGGGCTTAACTGCCCACCTGCGATTATATTATCATTAATATTCGTTAATATTCGTTAATATTCGTTGGTCTGTACGCTCACGAAGAGTTGCTTCGAGAGCCAAACGACTAATGTTTGGCCTCTTCGCACTCACACTTATGGCGAAGGATCGACTGATCCGCGCCGGGCCTTATCACACGAGGCCCTATCCTGGATGCGTAGCGTTCATCTGACTAACGAAAGATAACAACAACTGAACATCCTCCAACCACAACGGAAAGCACATTATACGCTAATCAAGCAGCACCCTAAGTCTCAACTAAACCAAGACGCGATTCGTCCAACTACCTTCGGTTAGCCTAACCACCTGCGGATAGAGGCTAACTCGGTCGTGACACATAATTCGTGCGCTCCAGATGTTTTGGGGTGAAAAGGTGGAGAACCGGGAGCACAACTGGAGCACCAACCTCAGTGTCGCCATATTACTCTGGTAAGGCGCGACCATTGCCCCCGGGAGATCCCGGGATTTTCCTTTCGATGGTGGAAGGCATTGCGTCCCTAGTTGATGGACGGTGGTGACCTGGGATAAAGTTAACCTGCGAGCCGACCAGGAACGGAGTTGGGCCGCTGTCGACCCGGCAGATTCCGTTGGATGCTGGTGGTGGGTGCGGAACCTGAGCGATTCCACTGAGAAGTTGACTAGGGTGACTGGATGAGGGTGCCCCCAAATACCGGGGAAGGCAGGGTTTCGCAGCGTAGCTGCCACGGGCGAAGATACACCCCGCTGTTTCACACATCATATTACTCGTCCTCCTCCACGTAATCGGGGTATTTCACGGCATCCAGATGGCAGTAGCACCGCTCTGGATTCGTGTGAGATGAGCGTTTTTTGCAGCGCCGCTTCACCTTTAATAGCCCTACACCAAGTTGGCAGAGCACCAAACGCGGATTTCATGTCCTTCCTTGCAATCGCTAGCTTAGCCGGACCTTTGCATTACCTGTCCAGAAGAACTGTACCCAGACCACAAGCACCATGGCATCCCCAGGTGCTCTCCTGCACGTCCTTCAGAACTTCAGGCTGAAGGCCGTGAGCCACTTCATTCCCAGTTCAGAGCCGTGGCGTGACATTACAACCACAATTTATGTGACTGCATCAGCATGCCTGGTGCTGAGCATGGACGCTAGGGCTGTGGGGTTGTGGAGGCAGCTACCTGAACTCAGGCTTCAGCTCGACGATGGCCACATTGTTGTGCTAGACAGCTGGTACATGTTTACGGACGCTGAACCCTCTGTCTCTGCGGATGTTCGGGTGAATGGATGAGGAGGGATCCTGGAAGGAAGGATCAACCGCCTTGGATTTCCAGTTCCTATGGCGTAGTTCAGTGTGGTAATGGTGGATGGTGCTGTATGGTGATTAATTGTAGAAATGATAATCTTGAGGGCTGAATGGATTTGGACGCAATAGTGATTGCCAGAGCGTTTACAAAGCGACTAACGGCTCAGCTCAGCCACAACTCACTACTCTAGAAGCATACCAGACCAAAGATAATCGTTAGCTCATTCCTATTTATTCACGAGTTCGACAGTCGATCAACAAGTACGGAAGATGGCTCCACTCTATTCAGAAACCAAGTATCACGCAAGCATCAGGCGACAGACTGACCGGACAACATTTTCCTCAACACTCCCACGCGGGCAGTCTGCAAGCCTGTTCGACTATCGCACTCCCATAGCCAAACGGAATCGCTTAAACATCGCATGACTCAACGGTTTCGTCATGCAATCGGCGACCATATCAGCCGTACCACAATAACGAAAACAAACCTCGCTTCGCTCAACTCGCTCTCGTACGAAGTGGTGAGCGACATCTATGTGCTTAGTTCGCACCGAAGAACCAGGATTCTCGATAAGAGAAATAGCTGCCTTATTATCGCACGCTATGCTGACGCAGTTAGCGTCAACCCCCAACTCCAGGAACAATTGCCTCAACCACAAAGCTCT